ACGCTTGGAGAGATGAAGATCTCCAGGCCTTGAGTTTGAGAGAAAGCAAACAAACCGTAGACATGAGGTGAAATAGGTGGAGCCGGACAGACCGAGATGGAGCCGGAGAGATAAGTGAGTCACAAATCAGAAGCACATAGAATTGCTTGGCCCATCGGGAGAGGCTTTCCCACATCTAGAAGGCCATCAAGCTAGGAATCCGTCAGAGAAGGGGCCCATCAGACAAACCCCTTCTCTCTCCTCATCCCTCTATCTACCTTGGGGGAGAAAAAAATTGTTTTTTTTTTAAGTCTCTGGGACGTTTTGTGATCCAGCAACCTGCAAGGGCTGACGTCAACTCTATGCCTACAAACATTTGCTTTGACCCACGGCCAAGCGGTGTGCAAAGCCGGGAAAACAAAATAAAGGAAGGGGGGAGTGAAAAAGGGGGAAAAATCTTATTATTAGAGAAGGGAGAAGCCAACAGGGTGAGAAGAGGCTTCATGGCGCGAGATGCTACGGGTGCATTTCTTACAGATCGGGAATAGGTGGTCTCTGATAAGCTAAAGCTAAATGGGTAAAATATTTGGCAGTGGATGATTTCCCTTGGTTTTATTTATCGAATCTCCATGATAAGATCACACACTAACCTTTTTGCCGATTTTCTAGAATGACAGAAGAATGGAGTGGGAAGGGGGTCTCGAAGGCCATTGAGTCCAACCCCGCTGCTCAAGGCGGGGATCCCGATCCAAGCCGATCTCACATGGCCGGTCCGGACAGCATCCTATGGAGATGACACTGCCCTAGGACAGTCGGTTGCCCATTCCTTGCCTAAAGGATCCCACCTCCCTCCTCTCCCCTAAATGCCAACCCTGTGGTTGTGATAAACCTGGCATTTCAAGAAGAAAGGCAGGTAAGCAAAGAGAAGAAGGTGCATAGGAGTGAGGTAAAGCAGAGAGTCTCTTTCCAAAAATAAAACCCAATCTTCTGTAAAGGATAACGTTCATTGCTAGGTCATGCTTTTCTGTATTCCTAGCTTGGTCTCCTGGCCCGCCCTCCTTCTCTCAAGGAGTAGCTATTCTTGTTATTTATTATTTATTTTATTTGTATACTACCCATCTGGCTACCAAGACCACTAGCAAGAGAAATGAGAGGGGAGTAATAGGAGAGAAAAAAATATACAAATGCAAGAGTAAGCAATCTCTTGATAGACCGCCCAAAAGATCATCATCAGATCACGTGCGAGCGTTCGTGGTCGAAGGCCACTCTGTCAAGCTTGTACCAGCGAGAGAGACTTAAAAGTCCAAAAGGGGGGGAGGATTATTATTTTTAAATGGCCCTAACAGTGAAGAGAAAGTGGGGATTTCAAGCCACCTGGAACCCAGCCGGAAAAGCCACGGATGGCGAAGCAGGATGGGAGTTGTAGTCAAACACCTTTGAAGGGTGCCAAGGTGGGGGACTCCGCCTTGGAGTGGCAGCCACTGGAGGGGCACTATTCTGATGCCGAAGCTTGGGCTGGCATCCACGGGTGAAGTCTTTTTAAGCGGTCACGACTTCCTTTGCTGTTTGACCCAGGTGACGCAAACATGGAAAGCCAAAAAGCGCCACCTACTGCCTTGCAAAAGGCAAGCAGGGGCTTTCCTGTCGTGAGAATAAATTTCCAAGCGTCGTCAATTCACACATACAAGTTCCTCTGCCGCAAGGCAAAAGGAGGTGGAGGAGAAAACTTTCTGTACCTTTTACCGCGGATCATAACGAAGGCCAAAGATCTCACAACGAATTCAAAACTGAACGCTGGCAGATGCCACCTGCTGTACAGGTGTGATTTCAGAAGACCAGACCCTCCTTTCACCGAGTCCTAATTTTTTTAGAAGTCTTAACCTGACCAAAACTGGCCGGCGTCGGTCTGCTTAAGACCGCTAAAAAGATGCATTTATATATTTAAACCATCTGTGCGCGCTAACAGCTGAACCAGATGCACCCCACAGCCATCCAAGTTATTTCCAAACTTAAGGACTAGAAACTTGGTCTCTTCTGCAAACGAAAACTAGATGTTGGATTCTCCAGCCGAAGCTGTTTTTAGCACAGATACCAAGCCTTCCCCCATATCTCTACGTATCCTTTGCACTTCCCTTCCTTCAACAAATCTGAAATACCCTAAATCCTCCTGAATCTTGTCTTCTTGACTGCGTGTGTGTAAGAGTGAAAAAGGAAGCGCTCTGCGGAGTTTCCTTTACTCACGTAGACCAAGCTTTTTTTCCCAGGAACAGAAACAACAGAAGACATCACGAAGTGTAAATGAGATACCGGTCTTGGGGAGCCAGACGAGATAAAATTCGGATTATTTAATGGTACTTAATGAATCCAATTTAAGATGATTTAAATGCCTAGCCCGTGCGGTCACTAAGGGTGACTCCCATTAGGAAAACAAAACAAAACAAATACAGACAAACAAATATTAAATATTCCCAGTTCACTCAAGGGGTGGCGCCTACCACTTTGGACCATAGCCGAAAAAAAAAAAAAAAAAAAACAGAGGAGCAAATATTAAATATTCCCAGTTCACTAAACGGGTGGCACCTACCACTTTGGATCATAGCCACGGTGGCTGTTTCTTTCCAGTTGCAGTAGACATATAATCAAAATCGAACCTCTGCGTACAACGGCAGTCTACCTCTTCATATCAAATACTGCAGACAGGGAAGGATTAAGGCCTTCATGCCCTGTTGGCGAACTTCCTGAAAACATCACCAGCTGTTTTGGAAAATAAGTATCTATTAAATGAACCTTATGAGACTCTAGTGTTCTTCAGACAGTCATGCAGGGCTTAAATTAAAGCAAAACATCAATTATTCACAGTTATCATTCACTCTTCTGCTCCACCTTCTGCGGTGGTCTGTAATTAAAAGGAAGGATCTGACCATATCCAGAATACACTTGAGTTAGGCAGTTATATCAAGTTGGAACTAACTTATAGCATGCTGCTTATCTACTGCCCCATAGCTCTTAAAGCACTCTGTGGGTGGTTTACTATTGAATGACATAAGCCACGGATTGCCAGACACATACCCCAAATTGGGGTACTCAATTTACCGACCTCGGAAGGATAGAAGGCTGAGGGAACCTCTCTAGCCGGCTGGATTGAATTTGGGTCCTGACCGAGCAGAGTCTTGACCGCAGTACTGCAGTTTAACCGCTGCGCCACAAGCAAGCCTAGCAGGGCTTCCAAGCTAAGATATTTAATGAGCGGCGATAGCTAATGAACACACACGTGGGATAAAAGGGAGGCAGGATTTCCAGAAAAGACACTGCCCCCCCATCTAAATCCCTGTTGATGTTACAGGGCATCGACTTACGGAGACCCTCATAGAGCTTTTGAAGGACATGAAAGATTTACGATGGGAAGAGAAGCTCTCATTCCTGGCATGTCTTAAGGTGAGTATTCAATGCCAGAGGCGAGATGCCGCCCTGACGCAGGGAGGGTGCCGTGCAAGTTGGAGCAGGCCCCCTTTTTGCACACGGGCAGCCTGGTGTCGGCGGCGAAGGTGCCAATTCAGCAAAATCACAACAGACTCCGGCACCTCCTTCATGCAAACCTCTTGCGGCGTCTTCTCAACCCACTGGACCAAACTGTCCCGGGTGTCAGAGCCCGATCTGGCCAGAAGCCCAGCCTCAAAACCCATCTTCAGAGGGAGGGTGAGGGATGCGTGCATGCATGTGGGGAGGCAAACCTCATGCCCACATCCCTGGTGGCAATCCAGGAGGACTTGTTTCCAAATGGACCGTGGGGCTCCCTTTCAAACAGGACGAGTGGCCCTCCGGGTACTTTTGGACTCCAGTTCCCATGATCCTCTATCACCGACTAGGCTGGCCAAGTAGGATGGGCCAGGTTTATCCCAGGCAGGCTCTAAACGCAGCCTGACCGAAGCCTCTTAGAGCCTTGGGGGGGGCAGCCATCTTCCCCTGTTTCTTGCTCTCCTTCTATCATACCAACCAAAGGTACGGTGCTCCTAACCATGGAGGCTCCACAGAGCCCTTAGGGCCACGAATCAGCCTCTCTCTAATCTTGTCACACAAACCAGAGCACACCCAATATATGGCACTTGCGGGATCAGACCAAAAGCCTTATCTGGGCTGGTCCTCTGTTTGCAACGCATAACAAGAACTCCACCTCCACGATGCGAACGAATAACAGTATCTCCGTATCCATGAGCCAGCTTTAGACTGTAAACACCTTGGGGCAGAGACCGAGCCTTTTTCCTTATGCTACAAGACACTATATATAGCATACTAACACTGATAAGATAAATGCAGGAATAGGGGATACCTTGATTGGACCATTCAGAAAACAAAAACAAAAAAAAACCAGATTAATTTGTTTGTTTATTTTGTTGTTTTCTTAATCGACCAATCAAGGTACCCCCTATTCCTGCATTGTTACTGTTTTGAGGACCACCACCACCACCCCTCCCGGCTGTGTCCTGATTATTTTCCCTAACACCGATACACAACACAGTCACATAAAAAGTGAGGATTTAACAATGCCAGTCATGAGGATGAGAAACACGAATCTCAGTCATCGCAGGGTATCTGGAAAGACCCTTGGAGGTCATCTAGTCCACCCGCCGCCTCCTCGGTGTAAGACAGGGTGCTGTCAATCCCTTCCTGGCAGATGGTCCCCCCCCCTTCTGCTTAAATGCCACCAGAGAAGGATAGCTCCCTGCCTCCCAGAGCAGTCTGTTCCCCCTTCAAACCGATCACGCTGTTCTAAAAATAGGCGGCCAACTCTGACTAAGCCTCAGCACCTCTTCCACACGCTTGCAAATGGGGGAATAAAAATAAAAATTAAAAAACCCCCGTTTGGAGCCTCTCCGGGGCAGAGACCTGTCAAGGGGGTTCGCGTTTGGCGAAGCATCGCGACCAGCCTCCATCAGGATGTCATTCCGCATCCCAGCGCGATCAAAACTGTTGCGCCCCCAAAAGGCGTCGCGACCCCCCTCCTCTCTCTCCGGGCTCCTTACCTGGCTGTCCAGCATCATCATCATCATCATCACCTCCCGCTCATTGTCCCCGAAGGCCGTCCACGGAGGAAGGTTGAAGGCGTGCTGGCGTGGCGATGCCAGCCGGTGCGTCCCTTCCTTTCCGCCCTCGCCAGATCGGGGGGCGAGCGGGCTTGGGGGGCGAGCGGGGCGAGCCAGCCCCCCCACCCCACCCCCGATCGCCCTCCTTGCCCAAGGCTTCTTCCTCCCCTGGCTAAGGCAGGCGGCAGGTCGCCGGCCACGCTGGCCCGACGAGCGCCGCCGCCACCGCCACCACCACCGCCGGGGAGCCTCCGCTCAGCTGGCCAAACCCATCATCATCCTCCCTTCTTCCGGCTCTTCTCCTCCAAGCGGAACGAGGGCGATCCCCCGCCGGCGGCTCCATGAAAGCCAGCCGCCTGGCGACCAAAGGGAAAGGGGGCTGAGCCTGCTCGCCAAAGGCTAGTCAATGTCTCGCCTCCGACGCTGGTCAATTTCCTTTTGTTGTCTGCCGTGCGCTCCCGACCCGGCCGGGCTTCTCTCTGTGTGTTTTTTTGGAGAAGCAGAAAAGGGGGTGTCTCCCTCTCTCTCTACGCTCTTGGCCGCTCCCTCGCGAGGAGATCCATGCCAAAAAAAGGAAGGGAAAAAAAAAGCAATAGCCGGAGAGGGAGGGAAGGGCGCCGGCAGACGATCGAGGCACCTTCGCCGGCTTTGGAGAGCCTGGCGCGCCAGCCGGGGGTTGATGCGCGGCGGTGGGGAGGGAAGGAGGGAGGGAGGGATCGCCAAAGGAGGAACCGAAGGGACTCGAACAGCCGCCCCTCCGAGAGGCCTGGAAGCCGCTTCTCCTGGGCTGGCGACTCTGCTCGCTCGCTTTTGGGTTTTTTTTTTTCATCCCAAACCTTTTTTCCTTAAAAAGAAAAAAAGCAGGAACAAAACTTTCTTAGCCAGCTAGGGGAGCAACAGGAGAGAAGCCCCAAGTTCGAGTCCTTGGCGTCGAGGCCCGAGTTCGAGGCTTGGGTCAAGTCCTATCGTTCAAGTCCTCCTACTTGCCTGAGACCGAGTCAATGGAACTTGAGTTGGTCCCCCTTTTTGCCTACACCCCGGAGGGCAGACCCTCTGCAGGAGACGCTAGACTTTGAGGGAAAACTCTGTTGGGTGTTTTAAATTAGTGATCAGAGTGTTTCTGATCATATACAGACAGCCTGCCCCTTCTTCAGTGAAACCCTTTAAAGTATTTATTCCTTCCTTCCTTTAAATGACAAGAGGCCTACCAGTCTTCTGAACCGGAGGAAAGGGGAGATGTTTTTATTACAATGGGTAAAGTGTTTCTAAGAATCCCAAGTGCACATTTTTTGTTCTTACTGGGGCAAAAATATGCACCTTTATATTATTATTGTTGTTTATCAGATCTATGGCCATAGGGCCTCTGAGCGAGTGCAGAATTCCCTTTGAGGAGAACACTTGAGAATTATCTTGTTAGGACCTTACCTATACAGGCCATGTAGATTTCACACACCTTACGACAGGTGTGAAGGTTGGACCGTAATGAAAACGGATGGGAAAAATGGATTTCTTTGAAATGTGGTGCTGGAGGAGAGCTTTGGGGATACAACGGATGGCCCGAAAGATGAACAAGTGGGTCCTAGATCAAATCAAGCCTGAACTCTCTCTCTCTGGAGGCCAAAAAAGAAAAAGAAAAGAAAAAAATTGAAACGGAGGCTATCCTGCTTTGGGCACATCACAAGAAGGCAGGATTCTCTGGAAAAGACAATAACGCTGGCAAAAGCTGAAAGCAGTAGGAAAAGAGGAAGGCCAGATACGAGATGGACTGACTCCCCATAAGAAACCACAGGCTTGGATTTGCAAAAGCTGAGCAGGACATTTGGGAGATCCTTCCTTCATAAGGTCGCTGTGAGTCAGCAGTGACTTGACAACACATCACAATAACAACATATAGGTTTTCTGATTCTTCTGCGGGAAAGTGGAATACCTTTGGAGATGTTCTGTATTTCCTCCCTCCCTCATCCCATGAAAGCACAGGAGTCTTCTCTCGGCCATAAATGCGCCAAAGAAAAGGGAGCATCAAGCTGAACCCGCCACCCGGGTTGTGCGTGTGTGTGGCTGTGCAGGGTCGTTGTGGGGTCCACCACTGATTCGAAAAAGATGTTGGTGGAGAGCTAAGGCGCAGCAGGAATGCCACGGGGAGGATGACAAGGCTGGGTGGGGTCAAGGAGATGTAATTTTTGCCATTCCTCCTCCAGGCCCAAGGAAGGCGCATGGAGGGCGGAAAGGGGCCCCTTTCTCTCTTTTGGAAGCAAATGTGGAGTTCTCCAGAGAGCAGTTGTGTGTGAAGAGCTCTTGCTCACAACGCCTTTGACTCAGCTCCTCTAGAAAAAGGACCCCCCCAGTTCCTTTTTTATGGGGGTCCGGCTGAATCACGGGGGGAACAATGGCACAAAGCGGCCCTCGGTCGCTCAGAAAGATGGCTGTCGTGTACACGCTGTGATGAAAGCCAGAGAGCCCCCCCCCTCGCCCGCCTGAGTGTTCAGAAAGAGGCCCGGATCCGGCCAGAGGCCCAGCAGGGCCCTTCCAATTAGCAGAACCCCCCTTCCCGCGCGCCACTGCCTCCTCCCTGCGCAGCCAGAGACGGGGACATGTCAGGCCTGCTCCCCGCACCGTTTGATCTCTATTCAAACCGAAGCTGGCACATTTTTTGACTCGAGAGGAAAACAAACGAGGCGAAAGCCAGCGCCTGCAAATCTCGTTGCGTGATCAGTTGGGGTTGGTGTGTGGGGTTTTTTTGTGTGTGTGTTTTTGCACCCGCTTTTGGCAGGCAAGAGAGCCCTAGCACGGGTTGCTATGGGAACGGGAAGGCTGCCTATATTATTTTTAATATATAAAAAGCAGCGTTTGTGGTTGAATGTGGCTAAGGATGAGGGGGGACGAGCTCCGTGGGCCCCCGTGGGGACAGGAGCCGAAAGCAAAGCGGGAAAAGGTTGTGTACTGGTGCAAGGTTGGGCGGTAATTCAACCTCCCCGTGGCATTTTAATTGGGGGGAAACATGGTTTTTATTCCCACGTCCCCACCAGCAGTTCCTAGGCAACGCCTCTCGGTTTAACAGGTATTGTACCTGTTCTCTCACCATGGATACCGGTTGCTTCGTGCTTCAAAATAAGCAATCTTGGGGTAGACACACCATCTGTGTGTGTGTGTGTGTGTAGTTCTTAGGCTTGAGCACTCCCGGGTCTCAACATGCCACCTTGACGATACCCAGCCTGATTTCAGAAGCTCGGTTCATTTGGGTACCAACCAGGGAATATCGGGGACTAGGAAACAATTTTGCCCAAACCGTGGAAAAAAACCCACTGCCTGGTAAAGTTGACAGTCCCGAGCTAGATGAAGCAGAGGACTCAGCGGAAGGCAGTTTCCCATTTTCCTATGTACAGCAAGACCCCCATATGCACATTTCCAAGGGCTCCTGCGGATGCTGAAAAATGCGGATAATAGTAAACACTTACAAAGCATGGCCTCTGGCTCCCTCTAGTGGCCAGTTTGGGCAACTTTGTGAGGAATTATATAGTTTTCTAGGGCAGTGGTCCCCAACCTTGGGCCTCCAGATGTTCTTGGACTTCAATTCCCAGAAATCCTGTCCAGCAGAGGTGGTGGTGAAGGCTTCTGGGAGTTGTAGTCCAAGAACATCTGGAGGCCCAAGGTTGGGGACCATTGTTCTAGGTGGTTTCTTTTAATATTTTTAGTATTTTCAGGCTGTGGATAAGTGAATCAGCAGATACTGGCAAAGGAGGAACAGAAAACTCTGAACAGAAATACACGTGCTTGGATGTGACTCCAGGTCAATTGTTGACCCACCTAGTTCTTAAATATGGAGCCAGTCTAAACGCCTCCATTTATTTGCCTCGGCCGCGTTAAAAAGTATGCTGCTTCTATACCGCCGCATAGTGCTAAAAGCACTCTCTGTGCTGTTCATAATTCAATGATGGAGGCGACGCACTGCCCTTAATTTACAGACCTCGGAAGGATGGAAGGTTGATTGAACCTGGAGCTAACTAACTGAACGAAGGATGGAAGGTTGAGTGAACCTGGAGCTAACTAACTGAATGTGTTGGAATCGAACTCAGGTTGTAAGCAGACGCTTGGCTTCAGTACTGACATTGAACCACTACGCAACGAGGGTCCACCTTACCTCATCTGCGTTGCCATGCTTGTTTCTGGAATAGGCACAACTACCTTAAGCGAACATCAGTAGGCATTGTCTGTTCTGTGCCGGCTGAGTTGTTCGGCTATTCGTCATCACCTTTCACCGCTTTGGAGCGCCACCTCCGTGTTTTGCCTTTGTGCAGACAAAACCGCCTTCGACGTCTGAGTCAGAACGAGGGCAGCCACGGAGGAAAGAGGACAGGGCTCCTGTGCTGAAATTTCCTCTATAATCAGGGTTCCAGGAGCCTTGATTGCCTTTCATGTGGCCATCCTAATTAGCATACTCATTTAGCTGCTCTAGCATAATCTCTTCTGGTGGGTAATAATCCTCTAATATCTCAAGACTGCGTTCCCCCTCCTCCTGGTCTTGCTACCTTCATTTTAGCCGGATAGATCAATCACTGAGTCTTATTGCGAACATGTTCGATATTTTTGCACCAGAATATAACACGGGTTGTTCAGCATGCAAAATGAATATAATTACCACAGCAATGCAGCTTCGCCCCACATGGCAAATCAGCAGCTACAGTAATGATCTACTCAGTATAATGATGATGTATTTACACATTTAAATGGCCTTAATCTCTGTTTAACACACACACACACACCCGAATCAGAGTGCTCAAAATTCTTTGGAAGGCTCTGCCTTCAACATTATAAAACTTAAATTAGCCAAGATTGTCTGGAAAGAGAAAAGTTTCTGATGTCGTATAAGGATTCAAGATCGCCAAGGTCCACATCTCACGGCAGCTTAAAATACATACTGTACGACCTTAATCGCAAACGAAATTCGCCAAATCAGCTTCGACATAAATTCGTGTCTCCAGCAGATGGTGCACTAACACTGCCGGGAAGTGAAAAATCATAATTGTGTTTTTGCACAGAGATTTTTTTCCTTCCGTACTTGGAATTAAAGATGCCATTGCATGAAATTGCAAGTTTTCTGTTGCTCAGTCCTTTCGCTTGGGTGAAAACAATGATCTCAAAGTGAGAAAGATCACTTTGATTGTAGATTATATGTGTGTTACATTCTTATTGGCATACTACTTACTACTACTTATTTGATTCTTTTGTAACGTTCGTATACTTACTGTCTGCTAGCTTTTAAACGTTGCCTTCTACGGATGTAAGCTGCCTCGGGTCCTTTTTTAAGGAGAAAGGGGGGGGTTAAGAATATTTCAAATAAATAAATAAATTACTTGTACTACTATTATTATTTGAAAATACAAGATGAAAAATATTTCAAATAAATAAATAAATAACTTGTACTGCTATTATTATTAAAAAATACAAGATGCAGTCTTTAGCTGGTATTATATAACAGATACAAGTTTTAACCCTAAACCTGTCAATATAGGCATAATATGTATGCTTTTCCTAGTACAGGCGTTTTTTTGCATCTTGGATAATTTCAGAGATCTCTAGCGGATGGTATTTTATAAAATTCCACAGCATTGTTTCCAATGCCCTGAGGATGATGGGGACCACTGAAACGTGATTCATATGCAAGTTATTTCTCTTGCCAGGGCTCTCTATATCTTGTTAAAGATAAAGATTCTTTATCTTCAACTTTGGCATCCCCTGGCATCCCCACCATTATTTTTCTTCTTGCTGTTGTTATGCCAATCCATAATTGACGATTTTATAGAATTTGGGTGAGTTTTGTTCGTGCGGATCAAGAGATTTTAAAAACTATAATTTCCTTTTTAAAAAATGGTATCTGTCCCAGTTTCTGTGATTTTTTTTAATGGAGTTTTCTCCGACTTCATCTGGCACAGGCGAACAATCCAGGGACCAATTTCACCGGACCCTCGGGATAATTTGGAAAACCCTGTAAAAGAGGCCACTCCAGAGCAGAGCCCAGTCTGTTCATCCTCTTGTAGGGCAGAGGAAAAGAGGGAGGGAGGGCAGAAAGCCTGTCTAGATGTTTTAGCCTAGAACTCCCACTTGAGTTGTCATTCAGAACATCTGGAGGGTGTCTGTGTGTGTGGGGGGGGGTATATGCCAGATTTCAACTCTTCTCATCCAGAGACAGTGGGCGACTCAGATTTTGGGTGTGCCCCGAGGCCACTGTGGGTTTTTCGTCAACCCTGGGTATTCGCTACTTGGAAAACCCTGAAAAACGTCATCGTAACTCGCCATGGACTTAATGGCACATGGTTATTAGAAGCTGGCTGGAGAGCTCAGTGGCTGGACTTAATGGCACATGGTTATTAGAAGCGGGCTGGAGAGCTCCGGCTGTGGAGCGAGAGGTTGGGAGTTTGAATCCCCTCTGTGTCTCCTGGGAGAAGAGCCAGCCTGGGTAGCCTTGGGTAAGCTGCACAGTCCCAATGTTGCCCTCTAGAGGAAGGGAAGGGTAATGCACTTCTACGTTTTTTAAAAAAAAACCCTGAAAAGGGTCACCATAACTCAGAATTGACTGGACAGCACATTATTGTCGTTATTAATAAATAACAAGGCTTAATTTCATTATAAAGAACGGGATGGTTTTCTTGTCCTTTACCTGCAGCAGGGGAAATGTCCTGCAGAGCATCTTTGAAAAGAGATCGCCAGGCTGAATTTTGCGTAAAAGGTGGTACCTGAAATGAGAACGCTTTCATTGTGCTTGCCGGCATCTTCCCTTCTTATTTTTTTGCTGGATAAATATTTCTTTCAGCCTCCCTGCTACCTACAGCCCACTTTCCGCCGTTTCCCCGGTAACAAGGCCGGCTAAGATGGTTACCTTTGGCATTTCCTTCATTGCTTTCTTCTTCCTGGAAGAGCCGGCGCCTTGCTTCCCTCTTATGTTTTTCTCTCTCAAGAGCATAGCTACCTGACATGGTTTAAAAACAAGAAAGACAGTTCGCCTCTCAAAGGGCACTGGCCAATCAGACCTTGACAAACCTTTTCTCTGATCCCCAAGACTGGAATTTTAGACAAGCGGACAGCTAGCTTAAATGGAGGGGGAAACACATGAACATACATTAACACAGTATTTGATGACGGTAAATAGTTCCTGAAGATTATGTTTTGGTCTACAGCTTGTAGAAACCCTCTGGGTCCACATGCCCATTGAGTGAAGGGTTTCTACATAACCCTCCAAGGTAGAGGAGCGTTCTCCTCCTTTAGATCTGGCCACTTTGCCCCGAACACCAGGGTGAGGGTGTACACAATTCCAAACGCTAAATTAGTAACTAATTACTAATCACATACAAAATGCACGCTAGTCTGTGCCTGCCAAGACAACGGAGAATTGTGCGACAACTTAAAAGCCACCGTTTTTATTATGTTGGGTGCTCGTGCGGACAAACGTTGACTTTACCAGATACCTGAAGTGCAATCTTAAATTAGCATGTAATATATGTGTGTGTGCATGCATAGTATAATGCAGCAGCATTAGCAAAAAACGTAATGGTAACGGTCGGCGAACTAGCACCGCAAATGGGATAAAAACCTGTTGATGTGATTCAGAATACAGGTGGCATAACGGAGCTTCTTCATAAATGGCAATCCAGCGGTTTCACGCCGAGATCTCGCTTTGAAGTCCCTTTGTTTAAGAATATCCCAATTAAGGCCGGTCACAATGTGTCCTGGGAAGCTGACGTTTTCTTCCACTTAGTTGATGAATAGGGCACTTTTCAGGCCCGTGGGAGGCTATGGGAGGACGCAACATACACAGAAATACAGTCCTCTCGGATCCACGGGGGATCGGTTTCAAGTGGGTACTGAAAAACGCAGGTAATCAGTGAACCGTCTACATAGCATGGTCTCTGGATCCCTCTAGACAACGAGGAAATCCCTATTTCTGGATGTTGGCGACTGCACAACATAAATCTCAATATGTGGACGCTTGTGATGCCATGGTGGCGAATCATCTTCAGTTTGTTTGGCGGCCAGGGATGGTGGAATATATGCTCCATCCGGATCGACAGCGCTTTTCGTCCGCTTTCTGATGTGAAGGCAAAGAGGTGCTTACAGGGGCACGCCCCCTGACACTTAATGCCTGGAATCCGGAAACAGAGTTGGGTGGGTTTGTTTTTTCCTTATTCAGAACATCTGGAGGGTGTCTGTGTGTGTGGGGGGGGGTATATGCCAGATTTCAACTCTTCTCATCCAGAGACGGTGGGCGACTCAGATTTTGGGGGTGCCCCAAGGCCACTGTGGGTTTCTCGTCAACCCTGAGTATTCGCTACTTGGAAAACCCTGAAAAACGTCATCGTAACTCGCCATGGACTTAATGGCACATGGTTATTAGAAGCGGGCTGGAGAGCTCCGGCTGTGGAGCGAGAGGTTGGGAGTTTGAATCCCCTCTGTGTCTCCTGGGAGAAGAGCCAGCCTGGGTAGCCTTGGGTAAGCTGCACAGTCCCAATGTTGCCCTCTAGAGGAAGGGAAGGGTAATGCACTTCTACGTTTTTTAAAAAAAAACCCTGAAAAGGGTCACCATAACTCAGAATTGACTGGACAGCACATTATTGTCGTTATTAATAAATAACAAGGCTTAATTTCATTATAAAGAACGGGATGGTTTTCTTGTCCTTTACCTGCAGCAGGGGAAATGTCCTGCAGAGCATCTTTGAAAAGAGATCGCCAGGCTGAATTTTGTGTAAAAGGTGGTACCTGAAATGAGAACGCTTTCATTGTGCTTGCCGGCATCTTCCCTTCTTATTTTTTTGCTGGATAAATATTTCTTTCAGCCTCCCTGCTACCTACAGCCCACTTTCCGCCGTTTCCCCGGTAACAAGGCCGGCTAAGATGGTTACCTTTGGCATTTCCTTCATTGCTTTCTTCTTCCTGGAAGAGCCGGCGCCTTGCTTCCCTCTTATGTTTTTCTCTCTCAAGAGCATAGCTACCTGACATGGTTTAAAAACAAGAAAGACAGTTCGCCTCTCAAAGGGCACTGGCCAATCAGACCTTGACAAACCTTTTCTCTGATCCCCAAGACTGGAATTTTAGACAAGCGGACAGCTAGCTTAAATGAAGGGGGAAACACATGAACATACATTAACACAGTATTTGATGAAGGTAAATAGTTCCTGAAGATTATGTTTTGGTCTACAGCTTGTAGAAACCCTCTGGGTCCACATGCCCATTGAGTGAAGGGTTTCTACATAACCCTCCAAGGTAGAGGAGCGTTCTCCTCCTTTGGATCTGGCCACTTTGCCCCGAACACCAGGGTGAGGGTGTACACAATTCCAAACGCTAAATTAGTAACTAATTACTAATCACATACAAAATGCACGCTAGTCTGTGCCTGCCAAGACAACGGAGAATTGTGCGACAACTTAAAAGCCACCGTTTTTATTATGTTGGGTGCTCGTGCGGACAAACGTTGACTTTACCAGATACCTGAAGTGCAATCTTAAATTAGCATGTAATATATGTGTGTGTGCATGCATAGTATAATGCAGCAGCATTAGCAAAAAACGTAATGGTAACGGTCGGCGAACTAGCACCGCAAATGGGATAAAAACCTGTTGATGTGATTCAGAATACAGGTGGCATAACAGAGCTTCTTCATAAATGGCAATCCAGCGGTTTCACGCCGAGATCTCGCTTTGAAGTCCCTTTGTTTAAGAATATCCCAATTAAGGCCGGTCACAATGTGTCCTGGGAAGCTGACGTTTTCTTCCACTTAGTTGATGAATAGGGCACTTTTCAGGCCCGTGGGAGGCTATGGGAGGACGCAACATACACAGAAATACAGTCCTCTCGGATCCACGGGGGATCGGTTTCAAGTGGGTGCCGAAAAACGCAGGTAATCAGTGAACCGTCTACATAGCATGGTCTCTGGATCCCTCTAGACAACGAGGAAATCCCTATTTCTGGATGTTGGCGACTGCACAACATAAATCTCAATATGTGGACGCTTGTGATGCCATGGTGGCGAATCATCTTCAGTTTGTTTGGCGGCCAGGGATGGTGGAATATATGCTCCATCCGGATCGACAGCGCTTTTTGTCCGCTTTCTGATGTGAAGGCAAAGAGGTGCTTACAGGGGCACGCCCCCTGACACTTAATGCCTGGAATCCGGAAACAGAGTTGGGTGGGTTTGTTTTTTCCTTTTTTGTTAAAGACTTTCAAAGCAGAGCTGGAACATAGCATTTGCTAGGCCACTTAAAAAAAATAAATTAAAAAAAAAGGAGTGGAAACCTTGTCAAAAGGAGCTTCCGCTATTTGAACGTGGCTCTCGGCCTCTGCCGACTCCTGAAAATTGATGGATGTCTGGACGGCTACAGTGAATGGCTACACCCGATTTGGGGGGAAATTCAGATCCCAGTGTATCTCCCCCACTGTGTCGTCCCTACTCAACATTACAAATCATCCACTGCTCAATGACCCGAACTTTGAACCTTCTCCTCCCCATCCAGGCACTAAGAAACAAGATCCAACCAGGGTTAATTCCTTAACTGCCTATTGTTCTTCACCACCGTCGAGAAGCGTACGAGCCTCACCTCAGGCGGCTTCGGCTTGGTGTCATCCCAGAGGTACTCGGGAGAAAGAAGCTTTGTAGGTTTATGGGAAAGAAAATGCCTGTTCAAGTGACTCTCCTCTTGCCAAGCCGCCATGACGCCGTTGGCTTTGTCGGCCAAGATGGTCATGTGGCAAGCTCTCGTGAACTCGTAGACGTTCTTGGTGAGACCTCCGAAGACGGCGCCGGCGTAGTAAAAATCCCCCTCTTCTCTGTGGATGTAAGCGGTGGATATACTTCTCCTTTCATAAGGGAAATCCGTTCGAGGGACCTTGAAGTAACCGGGGTGAATGGCTGCTACCATCTCCCCAAAGGTCTCCGGGCCCCATGGATTATGGAACACCATGTCAATGTCCAAGCAGAAGAGGTAGTCCACCTCTCGATGGGCGGTCTCCGAGATGTATCGGTTGATGGCCTCCATCCGTCGCATGGAGATCTCCTCCCAGTGGGTGTACTTTTTAATGGGGACAAGGCTGAGGGTCCGGCCAGGCTGCAGATGGACCACGGGGATGTCTTGAGGACGGTCGGTGAAGATGTAGTAGTTCACGCGGTAGCCTGCCATGAAGTAGAGTTCTGCGGACTCCAGGAAGCGGCCCACAAACTGGACGTATCTAGAGAAACAAGAGTGCGCTCAGGAATGGGTGTGAGAAATGTGTCCTTCTCCAGGTCACATGAGTTTCCTCGCCAGTGGCTATGTTGGGCTAGGAGAAAACAAACCCAACAAAAACTGGGCATTTTACTGAGCAATCGATTTCCCGCTTTGCAGCTCAATTCTTCAGATTCCTGTATCTAAGGGAAACAGACTGCTGTCCACCAAAGTTTGTGCCCAGTGGAACCTGTTAGGCACTATAAGACTGTCGGTTTTGATCCCACAGATCAACACAACACGATGCTTGCTTGGAATGCACGTCTTAGACGGACTGCCAACGTGCTTGTCTGCTCAAGCAGAAACCTAGATGCTGAGCTTGGAAACCACGATTTTTTGGGGAGGGACCAACTCTCAGAATGCCCCCAGCAGGCCGTGCTAGATGGGAGACTGTGGAAGGTATTATCCAAAAAAGTAACTTCCCCATGTTCTTTCTGAACCTTTTCCAACCATGCCGCCTCTCGCAAGATTAAAGTAACTACCAACCACTCTGCCTGGAGCAGAATCTTTGAAATGCTGCTAAATTGGGGACGTTTGCCATTCTTTCCCTTCCCGCACCCCCCCCCTTCACCCCTGGTCTCTCTGCTCACTTTCCAACAGCAAACGCCGTCATGCCGATGGTGAGGTTCAAAGGCTTGTACGTGCGATCCAATATTTGGGAGTTGAATGTTCCTTCCCAAATGATGGGTGCCAGCCATGGGGTCAGTGTGAGAACATCAGAACGTCTGGAGAGAGAAAGAGAGAGAAAGATACAACGCGGCAATGAAAGGTCGGAGTCTTGATTTGACTTAACGGGACACCTTAGTCAAAGTCCACCAATTGAAGTAGGCAGAATCACTGGCCGGCAAGTTAATTCTGACTTTTGGTGGCCCTTTTTTAGGGTTTCTGAAGTACTGATTACCTCCTCCTTTTGGGGGCCCCTCTGAGCTTGCCCAAGGCTACACAGGCTGGCTCCTCTACAGGGAGGCACAGTGAACAAGGGCACTCACGACGGGGGGCCCAACTCACTGAGCTAGCCAGCCTTGCCCACCCACCAGAACCAGGTGCAAAAGATGGCTCAGAAATGGGGACCCAGAAAGCGGGGTGGCTCTGCGTGCTTGCCCCAGGAATTATTTCTGGAGGAGGGGAACTCAGGTTCCCGTTTAAATCGGACTTCATTTCCCCACCTGCCCTCCACCGTTACGCTTTCTGCCCCTTGCTAGCAAAAACATGACTTTGTAAAGCGAAAAGCAGGAGACATTTCAGTGAGCCAGAAAATCAGAGGTGGTTTCTAAGGCAACTGAATTTCGAGGCAGAAAAGAGCTTTGGGAGGGTCTTGTCAGTTCAATGACATGGCCAATGAGCCTGTCAACGGGTAACGTCTTATTACAGGGGAAAAGGCAGCTGTTGGTACCCACACGGACTTGTAAATCCTTTCTTACATCCTCTTTTAGCAACACGTCTTGGTGTTTTGAAGTTCTGTTCTGCAGCCACAAGAGCTTAATGCCATTCCTTTTGGGAGTTCAGATCCTCCAGTATTTTAAACAATCACTGAAAACCCAGCCTTTCCGGAATTCACAACATCTTAACATAGTGGCATCAGTATCAGTCCCGCCATCTTGCTTTTAAATTATTTTAAAATTGTTTCTAATTCTTTCTAGTTCAATCTCATGTTGTTTCGTGTGTGTGCTGCATTGTTCGATTTTGATTTTTTTAAAAATGGTTTGCTCACTGTTCTAATTGTTGTTTTTATGTCAAAATGACCAGATGGGGGGTATAAATTGAATGAATGAATGAATGGCTCACTGTTCTAATTGTTGTTTTTATGTCGAAATGACCAGATAGGGGGGTATAAATAGAATAAATAAATAAATAATAGTGTAAACCACCCAGAGTGGCCTTGATAGCCAGATTTGGGGGGGTTGGGTTATGAAAGTCAAATAAATAAATAATAAACAAATATAAAGACATAAAAGGTGCAGTGAACCTGAATCTCCACAGTCCCTTCAATTCTTCTGCATATTATCCAATTCAGTCTTCAAACAGAACTATTCATACATGTACTTCAACAGAACCGCACGCCTCAGCACCCGGTACTCAAGCCGATCTCTATAGATACTCACGTCTGCTCCAGGGCACTTGGTTGAGGATAAAATAATCTGGGGAAAAAAAAATGAACAAACAAAAAATCGGCCATGTCATCATAGGACAAACTAGCAGAACGAGAACGGGAAAGCTTTCACCTGATATTCTTCATCTACGACTTACTGTGGAAAGAGCCCACGCGATTTCTCCCCTCTGTACTGCAGTCTCATGGAACTGGTAAAGAAAAGGGAATATAATTAACATGAAATATTAATTTGAGGAAGCTGGAAGTATTCACAGATTGGTATCGAAATCTTTGAACGCACAGAAGGAAATTGGGGCCAGAACACAAGTTGCCATCAAAAAATCATGTGAAGGGTTGCAGGCAGCAACATCATTTCTGCACGAACGCACAGAAGGAAATTGGGGCCAGAACGTAAGTTGCCGTCAAAAAAATGATTCGAAGGGTCGCAGGGAGCAACATCGTTTCTGCAGCTCCGACCGGGATTTCAACCCCTTCTTAAGGATAAATTCGCACAAAACCAGTTTAACTAGGTTTTCCTTCAATTGTGAGCTCGAAGGCACGGGTCATATTTTAAAAAATGAGATGTTCTGCCAAATACCGGGGAACGGTTTGTACCCATTAAAGGTTTCATTCGTCCGTTCTCACGGCTAGGAAAGTGCACCCCATTTAGCCCAAATTGTATCTGCCATGTTCTCAGCCCAAGCTGGAGACGCTGAGATTGAATCTGGGACCCTGTGCATTCCAGTGGGGAACCCTGTTAAGCTATCATTCTATTCTTGTTTCGGATGATGGCGAGCGCCGTTGGTTGAATGGACACCATTTAGAATCCTTAAGAGCCTTCCGCCTGCGTGGAAGTACAGACATCCAGAGCAGAAAAATCTGAAAGGGTGGAACTTAAGCTCTTAAAAGAAAACAAGGGGGGCACCTCTTTTTGTGAAAATATTATTCCCAGAAAACTGACTTAAATTTTCCAGCGGGTGGGGAAGCAGGAAACGATACTTACAAGATATCCGGGCAGGGCAGATAAAAAGGCAAATATTTGATTGGTTCTGTTCCAAGTAAAAACCTGGCAAAATAAAGTAGTAATTACAATTAAGTCAATTTCTTTTGAGATCTCGGGAAGGTGAGAATACCAAAGGAGGATCAGAACAGTTTTATAAGGTTTTAGAAGCCTAGAAGAAACAAATGAAGAAGATAAAAATTGAGAGAACGGCGCCACAATTTTTTTCACACACCCCCCCAGCTTTCAAATCTGGGGTCTGGGATGAACCCAGAGAAATTTAGCACTCAATGTTGGTATCCTGAGAATACTGGAATTTTCCTTAATAAAAAAAGAGAGAGGGGTTTGAAGACTCACCAGATCAATACAGGAACGATGGTGAAACAGCACCCAAGAAGTAGAGGTCTCAATAGTTTTTGGCTCTTCATGGTGCCCGGGCTGAAAGAAGCAGACCATAAAAGCAAAACAGTTTCATTGCAATCGATAGAAGGAAATATTAATGGAGGACACGCCAGTTTTCAGAGTCCATGGGTTGATTGCCTTGTGGCGATCTTTTCGACACCTTGAAGGTTAACAGATTCATTACGGTATACGAATTTTACAGACAACTTTATAAGAGTGTTATATTACCTTACCTTATCTTACCTTATACGAGTGTTACAGGTTTATAGCAGATTTACAGGACGAGATGGGAGAGCAGGAGAGAGGGAGAAAGAGATTCAGAGGAGGGATTTTAGACAATGAAAGAAACCGGAAATGAAATGAAGAAAATTCCACCTGTAACGGCTATACCACGAACTCGCGGCAGTTGTCAATTCTGGAGATGCTGACAAGGGTCGACACAAAAGCTCGTACCGGGACAGAACTGTGTAATTTTAAGGTAACATTTATTGACGTACACTCCCTAGTTTGGCCATAAAAGCAGGTGTGGTTAATGCCAAACATTAAATGAAACATGGCAGGGAGCCATAACTTCAAAAGATACAGTAGAAGTAAAGTTAAATCCAGTGTATGTCTGTGTAATGAATATTGTACTCTGGATTTATCAAAATTTGTTTTTATTTATTTAGCAACAAATTTTGATGGTGTGTTTCTTGACATAATCCAGTGTATGTCTGTGTAATGAATATTGTACTCTGGATTTACCAAAATTTGTTTTTGATTTATTTATTTAGCAACAAATTTTGATGATGTATTTCTTGACATATGTACCCTCTTCCACCCCGCCGGCCCTTTTTACAGGAGCTTGGCTGGGTGCTCCGGCTATGCTTTTCAAAAAATGCAACCACACCGCCAAGAGACCAGGTGGTGTTTACCTGATCCACAACCAGGAGAAAGGCTTTGGGGAAAAGGAGGAGGAGAAGGGGGGGAAAAGGAGCCGGAGGGGGGGGGATTGAAACATCAGGGCTGCAAAGTGGAGCTGCTACCTGCCGGCAGATTTATATGCCAGCAAGGCGCTAGAAGCGCTCCCAGTGCTTTGGTAGGCAAACGCCCGAGAAATGTACAACAAACTACGTTTATTCAAATACAGTCGTGTCATCTTCTTCTGGGTGCTGCACAAGGGTGGAAGGCGGGGTTTGACTTCACGGGGGCTTATTTTTGGGGTAGGGCTTATATGACAAGCATCCTGAAAAAGCATACTAAGGCTTATTTTCAGCTTAGGGTTTATTTTCGGGGAAACAGGGTACTGAATGAAATGCTCAAGGGGATTTTAACTCATCTAGTACTACATAAAAGCAGGCTCATTCTTTTTAGCTAGTGATAGAAATTATTGTCTTTTTTTTTTTTTCATTGTCTGGATTACATAGGGGCATTTATTCTGTGACTTACTCTGTGTTGTGAACCACCAAGGGAGCGATTTCACTAATGGGTCAGTAGAGATGTGGAAATAATACACTGAATAATCTTAGCCAGTTCTAGCAAAAACAAACATACAAAATGAAACCACCCTGCTCAGACAAGGTGGCTTCTTCTTAAAGTTAAGATAGTTGTTAATGTTTGCTTGCTTTTAATGATTCAATTGTATTTTGATTGTGTAGAGTTTATTTTTATTTTTTTTAATGCTTAACCTATGATGTTTTAAATTCCGTTCCTTTTAAATCTTGTGAGCTGACTTGGGTCCCTTTATCGGGTGAAAGGCGGCCTATAAAACAAACAAACAGATAGATAAAGAAATAAATGTATCCCACTGGGAGATTACATCCCATTTGTTCTATACGAGAAAAAGTGGGCTATCATCTGCGAAAGCTCCTGCTGAAATACATGGATTCATTTTAAAGATGCCACAATACTTTTTTTTTCATTTTTGCTGGAACCCATTAAGGTATCTGAAAACTGCCAGGAAGGACCAAACGTTTCTCTCGCCCCAGCTTGCCCACCATGCAAAAATGAGGAAATGGGTTCTCCTTCGGCTGATTTCAGAGTTTTGAGCCAAAGGGAGAGGAAGAAACGGGTGGGGAACCAAACCCCCGACTCGTGGGTCTACATCTATGTACCAAATCCAGTCAGTACATAGTTCTTAACTCCTGAAAACTACTGACAGTGACAGCTGGATTATCTTTATGTTCATTAAAGCCAGCCTGCTCGCCTGCCTTCTTTCTGATAAAGAGTGATCTCAGACATCTTGGCTAAAATAGCCCCTGTTTTCATAAACTGCACACAGGAGAGCTCTCTGCTCTGCAGGGTCCTTCCAGTTTAATTTGACATAAGAGGGGTGGAGTCGCCTTTCTGTTTTTCTGCTTCGGAGCCGGCCTCTGTGCCAACTTTAAGCCGCCGGGGTGGAGCAGGGTTCCAACTTTAAAAAAAAAGGAATGCTAGATTTCAGAGAAGCCTTCGCTTACCAGACACAATCAAGACGATCAGGAGAGGAATTCAATTTCAGTCCTCGGAGGCCAGCAGGCTGCCAAACATGGCGCTTGGGTGTCGTCATGAAATAAACGCTTTCCTTTTTTTGCAAATCATTACATGCAGGTTTGATGCTTCCTTCCCCCACGCCAATGATTTATTTATTCACCATACTTCTGGTGCTGTTTCATGATCAAAATCAGCCGGGTGGGGTGATATCAGAGAATGCCAACAACAGAAAGGCAGGAAAAACAAATTAAACCGAGCAGAGCTAAAACAGGAAAGTCACTCACACGCATCTCTGGGTTACAAATAGTTCCTCTGTCGTTGCTGGCGGGCAACGGCTGCTTGGCATCCTTATCTCTATTTTGTTTCTTAGTGGCTCACTCAAAACTAAACCAATTTTTCAACCTTGTTCTACCCTTTGTTGATGTTTGCTCCCTGCCGTTGGAAGTGTCAAAACCTGTTTTTCCGAGTGAAAGAATCTCCCCTCACCTCCCCACGGAGCCTGTTTCGAGGAGATCTGTTTTTTTCCCACGGGTCAAAATCTTTCAAATTCCCCGTCTGGAAATCCCGGTAAGCGAAGCAAGCATCGTGGGCAGAAGGAAGGGTAAGGGAGTATTGTGAAATTTGGCGGCTGGTGTCACGAGAGATTGTGAAGGTTTAGTAAATTGCAAAGTGCATTTCCCTTTGCTGTTCCTGGGAATCATCAAGAAAAGGAATCACCCTTCATCAGAAAAGCTTACAAAACCTCGGAGTTTGTCCCCTTTTTTGGAGAGCGTCAGTTTAAATGGCCGGAAAAAGCAGATGGGACGGTTCTTCGTGCCAACAGGAATAAAACAAGGAGGAAGAGGCTGAATCTGCCTGTATGGCAAACAGAGGATAACTCAATATGAATGCTTTCGCTTCTACAAATTCTCCAAATTACAGATTCTCTGTACGGGCGCTTAATCCACGGGGGAAACGGTACCAGAAATTTATTTAGACTCTGGATTCTGGAGCCCAAACCGACGTAACGGCCATCAGATCCTGAAAAACCATTAAATGGTGAGCGGGCACAAAATATCGGTCTCAAGATGAAAAAGCCCATGAAAATGGAATAACGGAAAGCTTTTCCCAAAAGGGCCGAGAGTGGCTGATTTCCACCCACGGCCTTGACACAGAAGGAATGTCATTTAGTCATTTAACTTCTGGTTAAAAAGAAGGAAGTGATGGGAAGCCAAAGAAAAACTGGGCTTCCTGCTTCAAGGGAGAAACCAAGGGGTGACAAAAAAATTCTGCTTTATTTGTAATATAGGCTGCCAGATGCAGGGAGACATTTATAGGCTCTGTCGCTGTCCATCAGCATGGGGATATCAAAACACCGCAGGATGACTGTAACCTGATAAAACACCACGGCCTAACAGTTTTATTTGCATTTTAGAAGTATGAATCTGTTTTATAAGTGAAGTTTTATCAGGCTAAAAGGGGATAAAACATGGATGCACCGTGCAAAGTATACATACACATACTTTTTCGTGTATTTAGCCACATAATCTGTTTTATGAATTGGCTGTATATTTTTAAACTGCATTTTGTATATTTTCGCCATAAATACGTTTTATGAGCTGGTCGCCCGACTGCAATAAAAAAATTCATTCCTATGCATACTTAAGATGGACTCATTTCTAGTTTTGAAACAAAAAGTAAACAAAAATATGGACCACGGGACGGGAAATGCACAATCTTTTTCCAGAATGCCGGGAAGATGCCGTTGACCAGAGCAGACAACTCAGAGGTAGGCAGACAAATAATCTTTTTACTTACGATATCCTGAAACATTTTCAGGTGGAGCCAAAGATCTCAACTGCCAGATGCTTGACCCCCATATAACGTTTGCAGAATCTTTCTACCTATCAACCCAGCACACAGGGGGGAGAAAAATGGGGGATACCACAGTATTATTTCAAAAACGATATATTTGCTTTTCTCTGAGTAAAATATCTATTGGTACAGGAGGGGCGACAAGAGAGGTGTATGACGGAAGAGGCCGATTTATAAATACAGCTGCTTGATTTTCTGCACAGACTTTTTCCACCAGTCTGCCCAGTGCTGAGCCTTCATCAAATGGGCCGTGTTCTCTTCTTTAATCCGGGCAAATTCCACTTCAAGTAATTGCGTGAATTTCTGTGCAAACGACGCAGCCCATGGAAAACACAAAAACAGATAACAGAATAAATCCTTTTTGCTGTATTCGCGACTTTGATATGGTCTTTACTGTGCGGTCACCCTGGTGTTTCATGGAATTCTGTAATGACATCTTTTTATAGTTCGCTCACATTTTTCTATTCTTCTGTTTCCTTACCAAAAAAAAATCATTAATAAGGGAAAGATGGAATGGTGGCATGATGGGTTTTCTTTTTTACTAGTAGTACTATGAGTTATCATTCAGTAGCCTTTTCAAAACCAGGGCAAAATGTAAGTTAGGAGATTCTAATCTCCATTAGAAACAGATTCAAGTCATGTTTATTTCCTGGTAGCCATTTGCAAAACAACATTCAGTGGAACGCAAGACACGGAAATGAGAAAAAGATTGTGCTAGGACAAGCAGACCTCTTTCCTCACTTAGGGGAGCACTCCTTTTGAATATGAGCTAACTGTATTGCCTAGCTTGACCCTCAGTCAAGCGATCCTTGATGTTACTGGGCTCAGATCCTGAGAGGCTGGCACTGTCTTTTCTCCCTGAAGAGAAAAATCCTGCCTCCTGCAGTTTTTTTCCCACTGCTGTGAACCTTCTGGTGAAACTCCAGTGCTACGTCTCTCCAAAATGAAGATGGATCGGACTCAGAAGAAGCTAAATCAAAGGACTCCGGCACTTTTTAACCGTTATGCAGAAGAACGAGTTTTCTCAGGGTCAGTTGATGTCATCTGAAATGCCCTCTTCTACAGATCTCTTAAGAGGAAGTGGAGCCCTCCAAGTTCGCTGGCCTCGGGCGGTCAAAATTGTGCTACAACAGAAGTCACTGGTGGGTGCAACCCGAAGGCTCTCTTACAGCCTTCCCTAACTTGGTGGCCTCCAGACGGGAAAGTCTTTAACCCCCGGAAGGTCAACACAGACTTCACTTACAAGTGCAACTGCTGACCGCATTTCTCTCAGAGATAATCCCACGGTGGCATGGCCAATGGGCCCTTTGACTTGAAAATGCAAGCAGGGAGAACTTAGGCTTCTCTGATTCTGATTTTTTTAGGAAAAAAACACTGTGCAAGGCTCCCCCCCTTCAGCCTGCCCACTTTTTCTAAGTGTCCTATAAACACCTCGTTTGTTTCGCCGAAGCAGTACAGTAAAACAGTTCCCTACCAGGTAAATTGCATCTCTCTCTTCCATGGCTGCCTTGTGGCCCAGGGTGCTCTTGGCTGTTGTCACGGAAGCGGTTTCTCGACAGATAATTTGATTAGGAAGACCCCTTAAGGTGGTCCTGGGGAGGCCAGGCCAAGTCCTTAAAAATCAAAGGGAAACACACACCGTGTCTGTCAAAATGTGCCAGAGTGTCTCCCCACCCCAATGTCATCTGCCCGACCCACCGGATCTTCCCGGGCTGGGCACCTCCGCGTAGCCACCCCGAGGGAGCCCCAAAAGTCACCCACAAGAGGCAGGACCTTCTACGCGGTGGCACCGGCCTTACGGAAGCAGCTCCTGGAGGAGTTCTGCCCAGCTCCCTCCCTGCTGTCATTTAAGAAGCAACTGAAAACATGACTTTTCAGGGAGGTCTGTCCTACAATTACCGAGAAATTGCCTCTGGTGCCATTTGGGTTTTGTGCTGTCAAGTCTTCCCATTTTACTGCTTATTTGCACTAGCTTGTTAAACGGCACAAAATAGTGCTTTTGCACTAATGGGGTGGTACATCAATTCAATCAATCAACCATCCATAAATAATCATAAACTCCAGTGAGCCTGGAAGTTGAATGGGCTGCATTATCTCTGGGTTTGTAATAAGGACGAGCATGGCCTACAACAAAATGCAGCAAATGTATTTTCATCTCCTAGCTGTACGTACGGGTTCCTTAGAGGTCTGTTACATCCTGCTCTATATCAGAAAAGGGGGAAGAGAGAAAAAATGCAGGTCTCCAGAGGTTGGGCTGGAATAGTGAATGTAGGGGTCAGTTTGTGGGACTCTGGTTAGCAATTTAATTTAACACTCAAATCACTGTTGCGGGTGACTTCGTTACAGGGTCTATAACTAAGATCTTGTTTTCTGTTGTTAAAATCTGATTTTAAAAAGCCTTATTCATCTCACCGATTCCTTTTTCTAAATAGGTGCACGTTTCAATAATTATTGTAATCTTGTTCTTATCGTTGGATTCCTTTAACTCGGGTCCACGGCTATATAATAAAAAAATGCATGCACGCAAATTGACAGCAACATTCACACATGCCGAACTGATGTGGAACGAAGCAATTCAGGGGATCGGATCATTTTTAAACAGCTCACAACGCTGGCAAAAATAAAAATAAAACATTCAATCGGTTGCCCAAATGAATCAATTTGACCTGTGTGCATCGTGTAAATGGAAATTTAAATCACAGCAAAATCAATCTAGATCATGATTTAAATAATGGCAAAATCGCTATAACGGTGGTTCTTAGGGTCCCTGCGATCACGCCTCGAGCTACGGCCGCGACACAAGAAAAATGATGCGCAAACCCTGTTCAAGGGCTCCCAGATGTTACCTGCTCCCCCGTTCAACCAGCAGCCTACATTCTTCAATCTCTAAGGAAAGGCCTGCTTTTTTACGTCGCAGGAGAGTGCTTGTCTTTTCCCGAGGGGTCTCGGTTTCTGGAAAAGGAGAAAGTTCCGATTTAATGGTCGTGAGATGAAACAGTCTCTGTTATCACCGACGCTTGTTTTTAGAAGGACAGACATTTTACCCGGTCATATCAAATGACAACCACCACCACCATACACATACACGTCATTGGCCAGTGGCTGAAAATCAGCCTCCTGAATCCCGCTGGTCAGTGGATATTGTAAAAAAAAAAAAAAAGGCCACGAAAGTGGCTGCCAATCTTTCCCCCCCCTCTCTCTGCAATTTCTCCTCTTCCCAGCTGCTTCCCTGCTGGCGGAGATGAGCCGCCCTCGCCCATGAAGCCCCTCCGACTCTTTTCAGAGAAAAAGAAGCAGCGTTGCCTCCAAGTCTTCATCTAGGGAGTAAGGGGGGGGATACGAATCTTCTTCCACCATGACAAAATGGGTCACCTCCCTCTAGGACTTACTTCCCTGTTGTACGTCATCAAAGGTGAGGCTGTCATCCAGCTCTGCCAGGATCTTCTCTGTGCAGGCGGCCAGCGCGGAGACAAACCTCTGGGCGCCTTCGATGACACAGTCCTGCCGGAGAAAAGCAAGACAGGAAAACCGTGGTCTTGTTATAGGCATGGACTTCTCGGAGCGTCTCTTCCCCCGTGTCATCTGCCCGACCCACCGGATTCTCCCAGACTGGGCTCCTCCGCGTAGCCACCTCGAGGGAGCCCCAAAAGTCACCCACAAGAGGCAGGGCCTTCTACGTGGTGGCACCAACCTTACAGAAGCAGCTCCCGAGGAGTTCCGCCCGGCTCCCTCCCTGCTGTTATTTAAGAAGCAACGGAAAACATGGCTTTTCAGGGAGGCCTTTCACACCGACCATGGCTGATCGCTATTATTGGGAAATTGTCTCTTAACGCCATTTGGTTTTTCGGCTGTTAGCGTTTCCATGTTACTGTTTATTGCTTGTTTGATGTATGTTTTAACTTGTCAAACCATCCAAATTAGCCCTTCTGCACTAATGGGGCAATATATTGAATGAATGAATGAATGAATGAATGAATGAATGAATGAATGAATGAATGAATGAATGAATGAATGAATGAATGAATGAATGAATGAATGTTCACTGGATGTTTGGTAGGAAGCGAAACTCTGAAAGCCCAAGGTGCATGCATTTTCAGACCTATTGTCTGTCTGTCTCTCTGACTTTCTTTTTTTTCTTTCAGCAGTGGACTGGCTTGTTCTGTTTAGAGGAATATAATTTCACTTTATTGCTTGTTTGATGTATGTTTTAACTTGTTGTCAAACCACCCAAATTAGCCCTTCTGCACTAATGGGGCAATATATTGAACGAATGAATGAATGAATGAATGAATGAATGAATGAATGAATGAATGAATGAATGAATGAATGAATGTTCGCTGGATGTTTGGTAGGAAGCGAGACTCTAAAAGCCCGAAGTCCCTGCATTTTCAGTCCTATTGTCTGTCTGTCTGTCTGTCTTTTTTTCTTTCAGCACTGGACTGACTTGTTCTGTTTAGAGGAATATAATTTCAAACTGATTTCACTGTTCTGTCTGGGAGGGAAAGACTTGGAAGCGTCTGATATTTCATTCCCGGCTCAGGGGCTAGAGCGGGTTGCGGCTTTTTTGCTTCCAGGGGTTCCCAGATGAGACGGATGGGTCCAAATCCCTTTCAATCTGTCTTCAAGTCCTGTTTATGGGATGGAGGTGGCTTTGGTAGATGACCCAACGAGACCTGGGGAGGGTGTCCCTGTCGATTCTGCTGGTGGTCGGAAACACGAAAGGTTCTTACGTCAGGCTGCCCTGTAGGGATACAGACATTTCCATACCTCGAGTTGCTCGTTGGAGAGCCGGATCCCCTCGGCTTGGTCCTCCTGCCTCTCCGTCTCCTCTTGGCACAAGGCCTCCAGCTGGGGAAGGTTATGGGGGTGTCCCAGCGTTGGGCAAAGTTTCGCTTTGTTCTTGTCCTTGAAGGGAACGGGTAGCAGAAAAACGTCTTCAGTCTGGAGCACCGGAAGAGAACTCAAATCCTTTTTCCTTTGATGGCACGTAAAGATGTGCCTCCCAAGCCCTGCGCCGGTGGGATCCCTGAGGCTCAACTCTGCCTGCCAGAGCCTATGCCTCTCATGCTTCACAGCCCTGGCTGCCTGTTAGCTGTGTGGAGTTTAATACAGCGCCTCCAGCTGGGGAAGGTTATGGGGGTGTCCCAGCGTTGGGCAAAGTTTCGCTTTGTTCTTGTCCTTGAAGGGAACGGGTAGCAGAAAAACGTCTTCAGTCTGGAGCACCGGAAGAGAACTCAAATCCTTTTTCCTTTGACGGCACGTAAAGATGTGCCTCCCAGGACCTGCGCCGGTGGGATCCCCGAGGCTCAGCTCTGCCTGCCAGAGCCTATGCCTCTCACGCTTCAGAGCCTGTTATCGGTGTGGAGTTTAACGGCCAAACAGGGCCACTCTGCATTGCACGGGGAGGTCAAAGGAATTCTCCGAACCCATGCCAATGGAACAAAAAAGGCCCCAGGCCCCGAAAGAAGGGGCTTTCTCCCCCACCCGGACTCTTCCAGGGCACTCAGATCTCCCTTACCTTTGCAAGGTCTAACTTCTGCAGCTGGTCTTGGAGATGGCCCTGGATCTTCTCCGTAGATTCAAAAAGAAGGTGTTCGTGATCTTTTAGACACTTCCAAACGACTAGCTGGATGACACGTGGGAGCAACTCCTCAAATCTCTGCAACTGACCCCGAAACTCTGTTAGGTTTTGGGAAAGAAAAGGAGAGAGGAAGGTCCGGTTACTCAACAAATTAGGACCCCCATATCTGTCAGGAAATGTTTCCAAGCCCGTGGATACTGAAAAATGCGGATTATACCAAACGTTATTTTAACAACGAATGCTATGCATAGCCTGGTCTCTGGCTCCCTCTCGTGGTCAGTTCTGGTCACTTCGTCTTTAGAAATATATCTCTTTCCATAGTTTTCTTTTTAATATTTTTCAGACTGTGGACCAGCGAATCAGCGGATACCAATCCCGCAGATAAGGGAGTCCTGCTGTATTATGAGAAATCCAGAGTTCATTTAAAAACGGGCGGGAAGAGGGAGAAAATGTCAAGCTGTGATGGGCTGGATACGAATAAAAGATTTCATCCTGAATTTCACCAGATGTTGTAAATTTGTTGTTGAACTTACCAGAAACGCAGGCCACGTGATACTCATCTGCTTGCTGCAGGTACATGAGAAGTTTCTGGCCCAAAACATCGATACACTGTTCAAAGGTTTCTTGCAGGTATTCGGGTCTAGTAATTTGATGCTTATCTCGTCTATAGAATTCCTTTAGAAGATAGGAGAAAAGAAAAGGAGAAAGAAAAAGCATTTTGAGTGTTTGGGAATGCCAGAGGCGGATCAGAGGAAAATAAGAAAGCCACATTCGACTTGCGGGTTCAATAAGATGGGCATGGAGACACATCTGCAGACTCAAGCTTTGGTGGACCACAGAATAGCTGAGTCGGAAGGGGGCCTTTGAAGGCCATCGGGTCCGACCCCCGTCTCAAGGCAGGAATCGAAGTCAAAGCCGATCGGACAGACGGTGGTCTCCAGTTGTCTCTTAAGTGCCTCCAGTATTGGAGCATTCCTTCCGAGATCATGGGTCCCGTTGTCGTACGGCTCTAACAGTTAGGAAGTTTTTCCTGATCTTCCGCCCAAAATCTGGCTTCCTGAAACTTCAGCCCTTTAAGCCAGATTTAGGCTGGAGATCACGTCGTGCAATCGTGAGCTGCTCACCATAAAGACGAGCCTCTCAGGGACCCCCCACGAACCTCAACGGAGTTCACGCTCAAGGGAGCAAAAAAGAAGGAGCGGTGCTTTGCTGGGAGTCCTTTATTTCCTATTTGTTTCTGGTTATTTCCGAAACATTTGGTGGTGGTGGGGAAGTCCTCTCCTGGGCTTAAAAAAGGGTTTGCCATGGGGAGAAAAATGGAGAGGTTGCCCCGTGTCCCTTAGGTGGGCACTTTTAAAGGGCAAAGACGGCTGGAAGAAGGAAACAGTGAGCTTATGTCAGAGACTCTACCTTTACAGTTAAGGTATAAAACATCTCCTGAAAAATAAGCCCTAATGCGTGTTTCTTAGAGCAAAAATTAATATAAGATACGGTCTTATTTTCGGGGGAACATAGTACCTCCTTCCTGAAACTATGCAGACCAGTGTCATTCATTTTTATATTTTTTAAAAAAGAAATTATTTAAAGAAAAGCTTTTACCTCAGCGACACCCATCAGATTATCAAAACTGTCCCAGACGAGGCTGAAGATGATGCCTTTAAAATGGTCGTTGCTGAAGAGGAAACACATTTGAAAGGGGAGGTGAGATGGTAAGAAGCATGTCATGTCGACAGCGCCACCCAAAACTTAAACTGATGGGTATAGATTGAAAAAACACCATCCAGGCCCTCCCCATAGCCTGCCACTATAAACCAGTTTGCACATCTTAGTCCTCCTTGGCTGGGAAGGGATGAAACGTACAAGGGGATCGTTTAAGTTATGTGACATAACAAAATGGGCTCTGTTGTCGTACTGCTCTAACAGATAAGAAGTTTTTCCTGAACTTCAGCCTAAATCTGGCTTCCTGTGGCTTGAGCCCATGATGATGCTACAGAGGAGGGATGATGGAGAACGGATCCTGCCCCTCCTCTATAGCATTTCAAGTATTTGAAAAATGCTATCGTATCTCCCCCTCCATCTTCTTTCCTCAAGGCTAAACTGGCCCATTTTTTCCCACCTTTCCTCCTAGGGCTTGGTCCCTTGATCCTCATGGGTGGCGTCACAACGTTAAAAATAACAGTAATAATAGTATTATCCAACCTCAACAGCCATCCCGCTAATTAGCTCTCTTACAGCTGCTGGTTCTCCATCTCTATTTATGTGTTTGCCGTTCTCTGGAACCCACCAGTGAAACGGATCGATCGCATGTCAGAACTTCAGCGTTTGATAGAAAAATCAATGCCAGACTTAGCTCTGGGTGAGTCGGGACGTCCCTCCAGGCCAACTCCCCCCCAACTAACCAACTTACTCCGTCTCTTTCGGCTTGTCCCCAAAGATCTGCAGCTTCCTGTCCGCCCGGGTGAGTTTGACGTATTTTTGAGTGGAACTGGTGCTGCGTTGCAAAGAAGAAGAAAAAAGAAGTTGAAGCGCTGTTCAGCCTTTTCACCCCTCTGAGCAAATGGGGTGTTTTGGAGATACCAGAGTCGGAAGAACACAGGTAATGAAAACAAGCAACGGCAGCCTCGTTCAGGAACTTTAATAATAAAAGCTCGACTTTTTTAAAAAATGTAGTGTATGATGCATTGGCAGAGTTTGGCCCACCCCCTGTCTCTACCTGGAAAAATTGCTTCGAGGGCAGACGGTTATTATTATTTGCTGAAATCAAGCAGGTGGTGGTGAATGCTGGCAACGCAAGAGAAGAAAAAGGTGATATTTTCGAAACACAAGAGAAAGAAAGCGGGATTTCTCTTTTCCTTACCTTCTTGACACCCGTTTGCCAACGGAGGTGGAATTTTTCACAGGGACGGGCGCGGCGTTCTGGCCACCCGGCAGGCTGTCTGCTCGGCCTCTCGTGCCAGGGGGCATCAGAACTGGATAAAAGAGTTGGGAAATGCGCTCGGTCAAAAGCCGCTCTCGAAAATAAGCCACCACTCAGCTTGCCCGTTCTTAGAAACCGACGTGGCTGGGCTTCATATGCACGGAGAGAGACTTCGAAATGAGCGCAGATGAGGGACGTGCGCCACTTCAAAGAACTTGCCTTACTTGAATTTTAAAGCTCTAAGCCAGAGTGACGTAGTGCTAAAATTTGGAAATGTCGGGGGTCACCGTAATAGTCATTAGAGCAGCCTGGCTCCCCCCCCCAGGCTCCGTCTGCATTGGCCTTGGAGGAGCAGGCCTTTTGCAAAGTGGACGGCTCTCCGCTGCCTATTCTAGATCACAGCGCACCAAAATATTTCACATTGCAACACAGAGAGCTTGCAAGAATATGCTGTTCTTAGGAAAGCAGCTGAGCTCAGATGGAAGAGGGAAGCCTGATTAGGGTGGCAAATGATGTCATCGTTCCGATGATGTCATTCAATCCTTCAAGCCCTTACGTGAAAGATCCGGCTGCCCGCTTCCTCCTTCTCCCCCAATCGACTGCGAGCGTTCCCTGTCTTGCGCCGTGTCGATGACTTTCCGGAAACGCTGGAATCTGAAGCAAGTCCAACCCAGGTAAATGTCGGGGGGTGGGGGTGGCCTCCCACGCGGCCCTCCGCGCTGCCCCAGGGGGTACCAAAACAGGACAATGCACGGCAGCCTCCATCTAGGGAGGACTTTCCGCCCAACCGCCAGGGTGCTTGGGGGTGAAAAAAGCACAAGGAGCTGTAAAGTTTCCAAAAATATTCCATTTTGGAGTAGCCTTTCCAGCAGGGTTCAAAAACCAAACTAATTCTTTAGCAGCTTCTCTCTCCCTCTTTTGATGCTTCCTGCTGTTGCCATGGGCAAGAGACGGGGTGGGGATCTCGGGAAGGGGGGGTCTTACCCAGTGAGGTGCCGGATCACACTGAGCGCCGCATCATCGAAGGCTGGCTTCCCCATCCGGCTGGGGTTGAGCAGGGCGGTGCATTCCACGCCCATGACCGTCGGCTTGGCCTCTTGCACGGAAAGGACCGACGGGAAGGAGATGGTGAGGGAGGCCCGGACGGAGGGACCGTTCAATGTGGAAACCACGGGCTCCTGCATATGAAGAATCCGGCAGAATTAGAACGCACCTCCCCATTGCTCGACGTCCTACATTTCAAGGACTGATGACCCAATGGCGGTCGAAAGACAAGTGGGGGGGCGCCTCTTGGACTGGGCAGCTTTCTCAAACCGAGAAAGTCCTCGTTAGGTTATCTTAGGTTGGACCACCTCCAAGCAGGGCAGGTAAGCAAACGGTAGTCCTGGGGCTGAATAATTTCCTCGTTTTTACTTGGCAGTCATGAGACCTCTCACCGAACGCAGAGCCTACAGTTTCAGCTCTTGATTGTAAGTGGTCCTGAGAAAAGCCGCTCTTTTGTGCTTAAATTATCCTCTCCGAGCCTCACCTCCCCGGATCGGACTACGTAAACAGAAAAGGCATCATTGCCATCATCGTCATCACAGGGCGATATTTACCAGTCCTGGCAGAAGGCAATTGAGGTATTTGCTTCTCGTCTTCAGTTCTTCCATCACCGACATGGCAAATTCGTAGAGTTCCTCGGGAGTGATGGACTGAGCAAAAAAGAAAAAAGGAAATGGAAATAAACGCAAACGTGAAATAAACCCTCCTGGGCGTGCGTAGCTTGCAGCCTTCCAGGGGTGGTGGTGGGGTCTGCGTACACTCCCCCCCCCGGTTCCTGGATGGCCTGACCCTGTCTGAGATCACCTGTCCCCAAATAATTCTCATCAACAGAGTCTTAAACTAACTCTCCTGATCCGTAGCGGCATTCCTAGCTGCTTCTGCAGGACTCAGCATGCAACAGCAAATGCCTTAACTCATAGGAAATCGCCACCGAGATTTATACCGATTAAACAACACGAGTGTAAAGGTGTCGTTATGTGCCGTAAAGTCGCCTCCAGCCCCTGGTGACCCCCATAAACGAGGGACCTCCGAGACATCCTGTCCTGAATAGACCTGCGCCTTCCTCTTTTCCTGCTGCTTTCAACCCTTCCCAACGTGATGGGTCTTTTTCAGAGACTCCTGCCTTCTCGGGATGTGCCCAAAGGAGGAGAGCCTCAGTGCCAATATTTTTGCCTCCAGAGGCCGATCAGGCATGATTTGAGCTAGGCCCACCTTGGTTTTCTTCTTGGCAGTCTATAATTTTGAGAGCCGGCTGGAAAAGTCCCTGGACTGGAGGCATCTGGCTAGGGTTAGCAGTTCAGCTCCCAATGTTGCCTTCCCAGCAGAGAGACCAGATAAGATTGCTGGCAGGGTGTGCGGCTCATGGGATTACACAGCCTTCCCCTTGTGTGTGGCCTTAGGCAAGCTACGCAGTCCCAAAACACTGTCTTTCCTCCGAGGGCTTGGGTTTCCAGCCCCTTCATCATCCTTGCTGCCCTCCTTTGAACTGGCTCCAGTTTGGCAGCATCCTTCTCCAAGTGCGGTGTCCAGAACTGGACACAGGACTCTTAGATGAGGCCTCACCAGTGCAGAACGGAGAGGGGGGGGGACTCGTACCTTGCAAGATTTGGAGACTATGCTTCTGTGAATGAATTCTAAAATCACGTTCGCATTCCCGCTTCGGGGGAACATGTCAGCCTCCCCAGACGAGACTCTTGAGAGCCACTGCTTCTGACCCGCAGCCCACGCGTGTACCCTCCGCCGACGCAGCCTCGGAACTCACTTCCTTATCCACATTGGGATGGGCGCAAGCATCAATTCGGAGAACCAGCTTCTCCAAAAGGGAGTTTAATGTCTGAGTCTGCACGTTCGATATGGCCACCTGTAGAGGCAAAAAAAGGCAGAGGGTAAAGCCAGAGGCTGATTTCGGCCTGGGAGAAACAGACACGGGGAAAGATTTCTCTGATTCATCATCCCATTTGGAGTTTAGGGTTCGTAAAGACACAGCTCTAGTTATCCCGGAACGGCAGAGCTGGAAGGGACCCTATAAGATCATCCAGTCCTCCTCTGTGGAGACCTTTGAAAAACCTCTTAGAAACCTTTCTGTTCCTGCAGGCCTTCCGAACGACGACCAGCTGAAACAGCCGGCTGAGATGATAAGCTTAACATCCATAATCACCACCTGATTTTAAAATAATTTTAAATGTGACTGTTGAAATTTTTGTTTATTGGTTGACATGTTTATATGGTTTATGCCTCCCAGAGTGACTGTTTGTCAGATGGGCGGTTTAGAAATTTTAAAGATGAATGAATGAATATAGACTTAATTTGCTAGGTCTGATTACTGTTGGGGGTCCTGTTATAGCACCAATCTCCTTAATGACCACTCAGATGATTAAGCCCTCTTTCTTATCCTAGCCTCTCCTGGTTCGTACCTCTGATTTGATTTTCACTTGAATGTTCGTTAGAAACCGCTGGATTTTCTCCATGAAAACACGATCCATGGCCAGAAAACGAAACCGGTTCTCAAACTTGCCAATCACCTCCGTAGCCTGAGATGTGGGGAAGAGAGGGTGGTGGGGAAGAATTCAGAGAAGAAACAACAACAACAACAACAACAACAACAACAACAACAACAACAACAACAACAACAGAGAAATTGTTCAGGATGTGGGGAAGAGAGGGTGGTGGGGAAGAATTCAGAGAAGAAACAACAACAACAACAACAACAAAACAACAACAGAGAAATTGTTCGTTTCGATTGCTGTTCCCAATGGAACGCTTGGAACCGCCAGAGAGAGACAGGCTTCTGCTCACCTGTTCCAGGTAAGTGGACTCCATTTTTTCCAGGTCAATCATGATCAGGCCTTCGACAAAATCAATGCGCCCATTCTCCTTATGCAGCCGTTTCATGAAGACGTCGAGCTCCTCGGAAGAAAAATTGCCCCCGTCCGCAAATAATCTGGAAACAAACATCGCAAGAATCGTCACGCAGCGCAGACCGGGGTAGCGTACCGATTCGACCGCCAGGCCCGTGATCGGGTAGGTCTTGATGCCCCCAAGGGCCGTGACATTCACCAGACGACATGGCGCTCATCACTCACCCTCAGCTCAACCTACCCCGAAGAGTTGGTGTTGCATGGATAAAGAGAGACATGCTTAAATTTAATGTGAGATCTCCGTGCAACTCACCATTGTTCAATGAATAATAATGGGGAGTCGTGGGATGAGCTGTTAAATCGGATTTAACTCACACCCGTGATATTGTACCGTCTTTCCCCCTTAGGCTGCTCTAAGCCTTTTGACGGCTGTCTAGAGAGCTCAGGGGTTGATGTCCGTTGACACTGTGTATATAACTCTGCAAGGGCGCCCTGAAAAAACCACACTGCGGAAATCCACAGTATTTTTTAGAGTCGGGCCTCTAAAAAGCAAGGATGCAAGCAGAAGACACTTGTGATAAGAGCATCTCAGATTAGAAGCCTTCAATGGTTAGCACTCACGTGGTGCTAAACCGACGAGCAAAACACAGTGGATGGGCCCCGGGGTGCAAACGTTTGGAGGAAAGAAATACCTGCACGCTCTCAGGAAGTCGGTGTTGGCCTCTCGTAGCTTCCCCAGGGCTTCCTCCAAATACTGCCGGTAGCTTCGCAGGGAAAGCTGCATCACCTCCACGTGGTTGATCAGCTCAATGTGCAGGTTGTTGCTGAGGCTCACCAGCCTAAGAGCGGGGAGGGGAGGATCGGAGGCGTTCTTGACAAAACGGCCCACAAACGGGATCCATGTGAACTCCCCGCTGGCTGGCCGAGAAACCCAGCCCCCCACTAGGGAGGGGGGAGGAATCCAAGAAGAGGGTCCTTAAACAGGCCAGGATAAAGGTCTCATCCATTGTGAACACAGTGTTTAGGGGTTCTCGGACTGCAACTCCCGGAAACCCCAGCCATCACAGCCGGTGGGGAAGGCTTCTAGCAGGTGCACCCCCAAAACGCTATACTTCATGCATCCTAAAATGTATGCTCTTTTAGGATGCACGAACAGAAGTCTAGTCTCCAAATCCCATGAGGTACGGGTTCCCCACTATTCAGGACTGGTTAGGCCTCCTCTTGAGTCCTGTGTCCGGTTCTGGACACTGAACTTTAAGAAGGTTGCGGAGAAACGGGAGCTGGTTCAGAGGAGGGACAACCAGGAGGATGATTAGGGGACTGGAGACCAGGAAAGAGTGAAAGAACGGGGCAGGTTGGGCAACCAGGAGGATGATCAGGGGACTGGAGACCAAGGCCTAGGAGGAAAGAGTGAAAGAACGGGGCAGGTTAAGCCTGGAGAAAAGACTAAGGGGAGAGAGGGGAGCCCTCTTCAAAGACTTGAAAGGCGGTCCTATAGAGGAGGGGCAGGATCTGTTCTCCATCCTCCCAGAGTGTAGGACATGTCATAATGGGCTTCAGCGACTGGAAGACAGACAGAGGTTCAGGAAAGTAAGGGGAGAGAGGAGAGCCCTCTTCAAAGACTTGAAAGGTGGCCCTACAGAGGAGGGGCAGGATCTGTTCTCCCGGAGTGTAGGACACGTCATAATGGGCTTCAGCGACTGGAAGACAGATTGAGGCTCAGGAAAGATTTCTTAACTGTTAGAGCAGTACAACAATGGAGCCCATGATCTCAACAGGAGGGAGCAGTAAAACAATGGAGCCCATGACCTCAACGGGAGGGGGGAGCCCTCCAACGCTGGAGGCCTTCAGGAGAAACCTGGATCATTATCTGTCTGATCTGCTTTGATTTGGATTCCTGCCTTGAGCAGGGGGTTGGACTGGATGGCCTTCGAGGCCCCCTTCCAGTTCCATGATTCTACGATTCTATAAGGAACAGACAATATCACGGCCATGAAAGTTGCAACCCTCTGGCGAAGGTCTCAGTGGGGAATCCCCTGGGAGCCCCGAAACGTGAAGCTGACCTCTCGGCCCGGCTCTCTGTCAGGAAGATGTTTTCCATGTCCTGGATCCTGTGTCGGAAAGTTCTGCTGACGTTGTTCTGGTCCTCGCGCAGCTTGAAGAAGGCGGCTCGCTCCTTGTTCAAGGCTTCCACCACGCCGGCGCAGTGGCGGGCCAAGCGCTCGCTGTGAAACCGGAGTTCCGCTGAGAAAGAAAAAAAAAGGGGGGCGCATGGCATGTTTCGGGTTGAAGCCGGGAACAGCAGAGAATACGCAGGGCTCCCAGATCCACACAGGACCGGCTCTGAGAGACCACCACCCTCCTCTCCATCCCCAACTGGCAAGGTGGAAAAACATCTCAGGATACCCAGACGGACGTGGTAAATGTCCTTCCCGATGCGCTCCCGCCTCGGCTCGTGAAGGTGGATGCGCAGCTGCACTTCGGAGTTGACTTCCTCCTTCTTGGCCCCCACGACGGACCACGTCTTGGCTAAGGTGTCGGCAAACCACGTCTCCAAGTGTTCGAAGAACTGCAGGCGGAGCCTGAGATTGGCAAAGACCGGCGAAGGCAGACAGAGAGAGAGCGAGAGCCTAAGGTGAGACGTCCCCATGATTTCGTAGAATCTCTGCGCAGGTCATCTTAGAAGGAAGATCACGGGGGTCCAGCCCCTCTCAAGGAGACCCCCGTGGGGGGGGGGAACCAAACTCCCAACTTCCGGGCTCTGCGGCTGGATTGCCTTGACCCATGAGCTCTCGGGCACTTCTGAACGACGAAGTCCAACCGGTGGCGCTTGGTCTAGGTGGCCCTTGAGGCCAGCAATGAGATAGAGGGCAACATGAATTCCTATAAAGACTGAACTGATGTTGTAGGAACCCCTTATCCACAGGATCAGTATCTGCTGATTCACTTATCTGCAGTCTGTAAATATTAAACTTATTTAAAAAACCGCACGCTGGTTACCAAAACTGGCCACAAGAGGGAGAAAGAGACCAAGCAGTGTACAGTATAGTGTTTGCTGTTATAATAGCGTTTGCTGTTATCCGCGTTTTCCAGCATCGGTGGAAGGGCCTAGAACTGATCCCCCACTGATCAGGGGTGTCCTACTGTTTTCTTGTATGACTAACAGAATGGGGAGCAAAGAGAGGAAAAAACAACTTCCTACTCACTTATTTCTTAGATCTATGAAGAAACTTTCCGGGAGGTACACCTGTTGCAGGTAGGGAGGCAGTGAGCTGCTTTTCAGCTTTCCGGTGTAATATTTCTCAGATTTCTTGGCCTTGCTCTTCCTCAGGTGTTCAAAGAGCTCGTAGATGTTGCCGCTCGATGTTGTGAAAACTTCTCTCGCCGGCGCCCTTCCCTCTGAGGATCTCTGCGTGGGGGTGGAGAAGAAAACGACGATGGCACCGAATCCCAAGGCATACATTGGTTCATAGGTGTGTCTTCCACTCCGCCCGTGACCTCTGATGGAAACTCTGGAAAGCGCCCTTGGGAGGATAGCCAGGCATCACAGAACCAACAGGCCAGTCCCTCTTTGGGGAACCGGGAAAGGAGGAGAGACTTAAACACACCAATGTCCCCGTTCCTTATTTTACCACTCTGGGGAAAAAAAAGATCCAAATTGTTTCAAAACGCGGGAACAGTGGAGAGGGGGAACCAGATGGAAACGTCACAGGAGCTAGCCAATAGGCACACTTGTTCTCAAAACACTGAGGGGGGAGGTCTGCTCTTGGCTAACACCAGGGATGGTCTTCCCCAAACGGCAGGAAAGAGGGAAGAGGAGAAGCAGCTTTGAGGCACTGTACGGTCTGTGGTTGGAGCCTCGGGGTTTCCCTCTGGATACGCCATTCCTTCAAAGCTCGGAGAGAGACGCAAACGAAACCCGCGTTTGCCTCCACACCTTTACCCGACATGAATGGCGTGTGCATGTGTGTCTCCCCCTGTCTTTCTTCCTCATTGCTAAAGCGAAATCCAGCTCACCGGTGCTGATTTTGCACCGTCGTCGGCCTCGCGGGCACCTCCGGCCTCCTGTAGGGGACTGCTCTCGTCCTCTAACTTCTCCATGTCGTCGCTTCCCAGGACAAAACTGGATTTTTCTGTGGGGGTGTCCCTGCCTTTGCGTTCCAGGGTAGAGGTCTCCGCCTCCCCTGGTTTCTCCGTCTTCTCGGATCCCTTCGCCCCAGCAGCTCCTTCTTCTTCTTCTTCCTCTTCGATCCCCTCCTCCTCCTCCTCTTCGTCCTCCTCCTCTGGTGGTTCTCTGTCTTCGTTTCTGTGTCCGACGGCATCTTCCGAGGTCTCCTCCGTTCCTACCGCTTCATCCAAGCCACTGGCTGCATCTGCTCGGGAACCAAAGAGGAGCACAAGGAAAATAAGAAGCCCCCCTCCTGGCTCCCAAGGAATGTACAATCGTTATATTATCGTGGGGGCAGCAAAGGCCGAGAGGAGGTGGAGAATGGGACAGAAAGCAGGCTTATCTGTGCACGAGAGGTTACGGGGTCTGTTCTCCATCCTCCCAGAGTGAAGGACACACAATAAAGGGCTTGAGGGACAGGAAACCAGATTTACGGTGGACTCAAGCAGGCTTATCTGTGCACGAGAGGTTACAGGGTCTGTTCTCCATCCTCCCAGAGTGATAAAGGGCTTGAGCGACAGGAAACCAGATTTACGGTAGACTCAATCTCAGGAAAAAAATTCTCAACTGTTAGAGCAGCACAACAATGGAACTAATGACCTCAGGGGGAGGGGGTGAGCGCTCCAACGCTGGAGGCCTTCAAAAGATATTTAGACAACCAACTGTTCGATCCATTTTGATTGAGCAGGGAGTTGGACTCGATGGCCTTAGAGGCCCCTTCCGACTCCCTTCTTCTATGATTCTATTTTACAATTTCTAGTACTTTCTAAGACAAGGAACTTCCCGCAACAGGGAAATGGCTTCTCATTCTTCCAGCTAGCTTTTTCCCAATTTGGGGCCTCTACACGTTACTAGCATGTAACCTCTGTCATCATAAGGCAGGGAGATAAGCAGGCAAAGATGTTGGGAGTTGCTATCTAATCCTTGGAGGGCCTTGCATTGAGGAAAAACTCTGCCACGCTTGTTGTACGTGCAAGAACTACGATGATTGCAACGTTCTGCCTCAAGTTTAGGAGGAAGACGGAGGAGTTAAGGTGAAATATTCAGATGCAATTCATTCCGCAACAATGCAGATCTCCCAAGAGGGGCAAAGGCTTGGCTAAGGACCCCGGTTCTTCCACAGAACATCTGGAGGCCATATGGAACACATCTCGCTTTCCACACTCCGTCTGCCTCCATCTATGGGGATCCTCTCCAACTCTCTCCCTCTTTAAAAAAAGGGATCCAGTGCTGTCTTGATGGAGCAAGAGATTTGAAAGGAAGAGACTGAGAGAAAGAAGCGCAAAAGGGACACCTCTCAGACATTTTGGGTGGGGCAGCTTCAAACAGACTCAACGGATTAAGTGTCACCGGCCCCCCCAAAAAAGGCATCCACAATTACTTTTAACAGAGAACAGAAGTTACCTTCTTCACCAGTCAAAGATTGTGTTTTCTTCAAGGGTTTCTAAATGAAAATAAAAGATGGAAAGTGTGACAGTGGATAACGGGCAAGACTGAGCAATTGCAGAATACAGACCTGAATTTAGTACACACCGTTTATAAAATGCATTAGAGTCTTCTGAAAGCCCATGAATGTTTTACTTTGGATTTCTCTATTTTGTTCTGCATTTCACTCCTCCCCCCCTCCATTTTACTGAAGAGGTGGGCATGATCCACAAAAGCTCACGTTAAAATATAATAATTAGTCTTTAACATGCCACTAGGTTTTTGTCTTGTTGCGTTTCTTTGGGATTTTGCCTGATCTGCTCGCACAGACGGACAGGGCGACCTTTTCTAAAACTAGAAAGCAGGGAAACCTTCTGGAATTCGTAACAGTTTTGGGGCGGGAAAGAGGGGGAAAAAGGGCACCCTCAAGGAGACAACAGCTTTTCTCCATATCTGCTTGGCCGAGTCGTTTTTATAGAAGCTGCTGCCGTACTGTTCTCATTGTTTCTGGCCTGCAGATGATGAGAGCCATATCCTAACACATTGGAGGGGCAACAAGCCAGGGAAGGCAGTACAGGGCCTCATTCTCCTTATCGAAGCTGAATTCAGGGGCACGTACCCCTTTATAGATTTGCTTGACGTAAAAATAGCGGCTGAGGGAGAGGCTGTAGGAAATCAGCTCGTGCAGAATATGGTCGGGATGAGCCGTTATTTTCAATAGGAGGTCTTGATGGAAAGCCGTGTACCTGTTTAAAGACGGAGCCAGAGCAAAGCAAGGTGACGTTCACGCCTCACTCTGAAGATGGAGAGCAGAAGCCAAAGAGATGGGAGAAAATACAAGCTGCTTTTCCAATGTATCCGAATCAGTGAATCTCTTTCCCCACTACCACCTTCATCTCTACAACCATCTAGGATTCCAGCCCTAGGAATTGCTGATGCTACAGCCACCGGAACCACACCATTGTCTTGTCCCTATCCCAAATGGGGTTGACCTCACAGGCCCTTTCTATCAACCTTCCCCCGGACGTACCCCGCTCGAATGAAGTCCAAAGCGGTGTAAATTTTCTCCAGCTGAGATTTCAACTTCTCGTCCGAGCTTTGGGTCCTCAGTTTGTCGATAGAGACGTCCAGATGAACTTCCCTGAGCTGCTTGCGTGAGGAAGGAAGCAAAGGGGCATGGCGTACGATTAGACCCAAAGGGTTACGTTGCTCGAATGTGCAGGCCGGGCAGCCAAAGCGTTTGATAAACCAGCCTGCCGACCACTTCCTGACCCTAGAGATGGGGGCAAAATCTGATCCACAATGGATACAAGGACTGCACCAAAGTGAAAACGTACCCATACACCCAACACCTAACTGAGCATCCCCTTAATGTGTTCTTACACTACACTCCCTTTTCTTAAACGCCCCGAGCCAGTACTCTGACCTTGTTCAGGTTTTCGTGCTTGTTCCGACATTCGTTCAGTTTATTGTGAAGCTCGTCCTCCTGATGAGCGAGGCGGCGCTGGTGCTTATCGAAAAGGACGAGAGCGTCCTGAAAGTGCTGGTAAAGGTGCCGGCAGTTGACCTCTGTGTGTTTCGCCAGGCGTTCCAAGTCGTCCTAAAGAAATCAGTGGAAAAGGACCAGCGATCAGAAGGACGTCACCAGAAAATTAAATTGATCTCATTGATTTGTGGGAGCTGGTTTTAATCCGGAAGTGTTTCGCCAGGCGTTCCAAGTCGTCCTAAGGAAAGCCAGTGGAAAAGGGCCAGCGATCAGAAGGACAAACGTCACCAGGAAATTAAATTGATCTCGTTGATTTGTGGGAGCTGGTTTTAATCAGGAAGGATTATGATTATCATCATCAGGAAGTAATGCCATGTATCATCATCATCATCATCATCAGGAAGTAATGTCATGAATGAGAAGGATCTTGAAGTTGCTGTAGATCAAGAGCTGACTATGAGCCAGTCACGAGATGCAGTTTCAAAAAAGGCCAATATGATTCTAAGATACATTTACAGAAATATAATCTTCAAAGCCTGTGAGGTACTGGCTCCCTTCCATTCTGGACTGGTGAGGCCTCATCTCGAGTCCTGGGTCCAGTTCTGGACACCGCGCTTTAAGAAAGATGCTGACAAACTGGAGCAAGGTTCAGAGGAAGGCAGCCAGGATGATGAAGGGGCTGGAAACCAAGGCCTGTAGGGTTTGCTTTAAGAAGGATGCTGACAAACTGGAGCACAGTTCAGTGGAAGGCAGGCAGGATGATGAAGGGACCAGAAACCAAGGCCCGTAGGGTTTTCTATTATGTATAGGGTTTGCTGTTATTCCCCGTTTTCAGCATCTACAGACCCACTTGGAACCCATTCGCCACGGATATGGGGATCCTACTGTCCTATGAAGATATATTTGCATTTCTCTGCCTTGAATCCCACCTTCAATCAACTCGACTACCTTTCTGAAGATTTCCCCGTGTAAAGCGGAGAAACACACACACCCCCACGGTCTCAACGGCTCCATCGAGGACACGGTGATTTTCACGATGACAGAGTGTGCGGAAAGCCACTTAGGACAAGTCCTGGGCAAACTTACATCCATCGTTTCCACCTCTCGCTCAAACCGACTCTGCAGCTTGCCCACCAACTGGAAGAAGTAAGGGTTCACTATTTTCTCGGCCTCTTGTTCGGAGCAAACTTTCATCTCCAACAATTTTTGCTGAACAGAGCGGAGAAAGGGGGGGGTTATTAGGACCCAGAAATGTCCAATAAGCACACCAGCTTTGCCACACCTCTTCCAATGGTTCAGTCATCTTTACTTAGCAAAGAGCTGTGATCAACTAAAGGGCTTAGCAATGTGGGTGCACTTTGCTCTTCGGATCTGCTCTGCTTAGAACTCCATTATTTTTCACGTACTGTATTGTCAGCAGCTTCGGAAGCCGCTGGTCAGACGGACAGGAACACGGCCCCTATTTCCAGGGAAGGGAATCAAAAAGGGGGTTTGCCCCACAAACCTTGCACTCCTCGACTTTGGATAAACACGCCTGGCAAACCTTCTCGTACTGGATACGGATTCTCATCATGTACTGTACGTTGTGAGTGTCTTTGGACAAAACAGGAATAAAAGAAGGAAGAGCAGGGTTATATCAAGACTTCCACAGTGCAGGTAAAACGTGGAAAGCACCTTCCAAAAACAGCAAGCTGTATTATTACTGCACAAATTCCTATGAAACCACTAGCGATGGGGAATATTTTTTTTGCAATCAATAATTTGCTCCCCCTTTCATGAAAAACGGCAAATTTGCTGCACGCTGCTTCATTCTGTGCCAACCCACTGTCTGGAAAAACAGAGAAAACCCTCCAAAATAGAGAGGCTGGCCATCCTTTTTTCAAAAATGACAATTGCAATATGCTCAAGTCCTTACCTATGCGTTTATTTATGGCCACCACCGATTCGTACCATTCATTGACCTCGGCTTTAGAGTGGGTCGGAGGCAACAGGTTGCTAAAGAGGCAGGAAAGTGGAAGGAAGAAAAGCACTTAACCGATACACCTCTCGAGGATGGTGTCACAAAAGTCAGTATCATTTATCCAGGAGGATCCCTGCATCTAAAGGGGATGGGTTCCAAACCCCCTGCGGATGCTGAAAAACGTGGATAATAGTGAACGCTAGGCATAGCATGGTAGAAGAAGAAAAAAATCTAGGAAAAAAAGTATTTTCACAGAACTGGCCACTAGGGGGAGACAGAGTATGTACAGTGTTTGCTGTTAATACTGTGTTCATTATCATCCACGTTTTTCAGCATCCGCAGGGGGACTGGAGCCGATCCCCCATATACCACCCATGTTTTGACCCCGTTATGGTCGGAAACTGCACTCCGTTCCTCTTTTCACGTACCACAGAGAGTACAGAAGCGCTGTTCTCTTTTCATGGAGCGATCGCTGGTCTTTCAGCATGTTCTCCAATTCTGTCTTCACCGCGTTTGGGTTCTGGATTCTTTCGCTTTCCATGAACTCTCTAAAATATACCCACAAAGATCAGAGGATGTGTTTTGAACGCGACGCCTTGTGGTTTATCAAACAACAGGCGTCCGGAGGAAGCAAACTAGTCAAAGCGTGCGGCTTACGTACCGCCTTATAGTGCTTAAAGCATTTGCGGAAAGAGTATGTCCGTGAGCATGAAGCGGCCGGATCCCCACCTTTTGCCAAAGCTCTCACCTGAAAGTGGAGATCACCCCTTCCTTTTTGATCGCCTTCCAGATCTTTTTCCGCTCCTCCAGCTGGCTTCGATGGTCGACGTCCCTCTTCAGATGCGCTTCCGTCAGGTTAACGAACAGCCTGGCTATGGCTCTCTGATTAGCCAAGAGTGCCTGGTTGATCATCTGGGATCGGAAGAGACCACGTAGACTTTTAAAAAGCTCCAAGTGCAAAATACGAGCAAAAGCAACAACCCCCCCCAAAACAAAACCCCAACCTCCTGTTGGAGCGATGCCTGGTTCCCCCCCTCCCTAATTTCAAGAGGCTGCTAAAGACTCATCTCTTTCGAGAAGCCTTTGGTGCCAAACTCCTCTGAACTTAGCTCGCCTCTGTATTGCTGCTCGTATCGTTTCCTGGATTCTTCAGGAGCCCACGCATCTTAGATAAGACCCCAAATTCACATCACCGTGGCCTAATCGGTCCTTATATTTAATTCCCACCCCATGCCAAAAATGACTCAGAATAGATTTCTACTTGCAAATTCCGGGTCTCTTCCACTACCCAACCCTCATGTCAAGAAGAAGTGAGGTTTTTACCATGGCTTCCTTATGTATGAACCTGTGGACATCCGAGGATAAGAGATAGGAAGCGTCTTCCAGCATCTTGGTGTATTTCTTCAGCAAGTCTTTGATCTGGAGACGGAAAGAGAAGGAGGGGCGCCACGCGGAGAATCACGACACGGACTTTTTGTTAAGATGAACAAACTAACAAGAGCAGGCAGTCCGATCTGGACACCTGTCACAGCATCTCAGCCCTAAAGGAGACTTGTTTCTCCCCAAAAGACGATGTTGGGGGTCGGGGTGGGAAAACAGGCCATGGCCCTCCAAGCGAGGCCAAGAAATCTTCCATGTGAAATACAGCCTTCTTTGTGGCGGCCCCAAGACGCCCCGAAACCTGCTCCCCGTGGATCTGTGCCCGGACCACTTTCCTAACATTTAAGCTTTTAAAAACATGCCTTTTATGACACCCCTGCTTGATTTTCTCTTCAATTCTATGCCTTGCATTCCACCTCGTCTGATAACTGATATGAAGCCTCTTGTCGCGTGTTTTATAGCTTCTTGCTTTAATTTATCATTGTTGCAAGGTCATATTTTACTTTAAACAACCTACCGAAGATTGTGCCCGGCTATTTCTGCCCTGAATTTTTGGGGGCATAGGTTTATAATTTTTCTGCCTTGCTCCCAAGCCCCAAAGAAGTGGATTTTTCTTTCCACAAAAGATCGCATTCATTGTCTGAATTTTTAGGACTCTAATAAAAGTGGTACATTCTTCTACCTTTGTGTTATGCCACGACCACCCTTTAGATTCTTTTTTTTTCTCGCAAAGAACTATAGGGCAGCAGAGGGCTGGAAACTGGAATCCCAATGTTAAGATTCTTTGCATCTTCCTCATGCTAGAAGATGGAACGGCTGGCTTGCGGGACGCTGCACCTGAGTGTCACCCCTGTGGATTGCCATGGGGAAGCATGGTAGGAACAGAGGTGAGGAGCGGGGCACAGCTGACTCCCTCCACCTCCACCTCAGAGTCCCTGTTATCTGCTGCCTTCTTCCTTCCGCTCCAGTTCTTCAACCCGTTGACTCACCCGTCCCGTCCGAACCGCCTCCGCCTTCAGCAGGGCTTCATCCAGTTCTCGAATCCACTGCTTTCTTTTCGAGGTCTCCTGGACGACAAGGGACCACATTTTCTCAAAGTCCTGGAAGGAAGAAATGGAACGTGGGTCCCACCGGCGTAGGAGCTGGGCCGTGGGCCCCACAGCATCCAATATTCTCTTGGTGATTTATGTAGGTTTGGCTCGAATTGCGTAACTAGCCACAGCGAATGGCTGCTAATTAAGAAGGCCATGGTGACATTGCTAAGCACACGCCTATTTCGCCACAGAGCGTCTTGCGCACGGTTTACCGTCCCAGACAGTTTGTGACTGCAAAGAAGTGTGGGCTTGTTGCTTTTTAAGGTCAGGGAGAGATGCAATTGATTTCTGTCTTCTACAGTTTTCCTTTCAAAATTATGACTAGGATACTTGTGGCCCGCTGGCACCTTTCCATGTCTAAGTCAGGGTGTATCTCAGATCCTCTTAAAAGTTAAAGGATAATTGAGATAGGAGGAGGGTGCAGACCTGCAGACATTGCTGCCTGCCATACCCACCATCCCGGCTGCCCCAGCCAGTGCTGAAGGATGATGGGAACCGAAATTTTAACGGCACCTACAAAGGTGCACATTCTGTAGCCTTGGTGCCATTGCTCCACTCAAAGCGGGCTTGAGCGTATGCTTTTGCCTAAGCAAAACTCTTGTTTAAACGTATACAGCTATAGATAGGAGGGTGGCATAATTTTTTAGAAATCTGAATTGAGTAACGCACAAAGTTTGTGAAGAACTCACAGTGCCTGTGGGTAACAGTAAAATTTAAACATTTTGCAATCATCACGTGGTCCACACGGGGCCAACATCAAATGGCAGTTGGCCCTTAGTGAAGTGACGGAAGCCAAAGTGTCTGGCGTGGTCTCTTACTTCGATGGTGTAAGTCTCGAGACTGGTGTCGCTTGCGACGGTTTGGAAAAGAGACGCGACGGTTTGATCCGATTCCGACAGTTTCCTCAAAAACAACGTCCCGGGTTCCAGTATAGCCTGTTCCATCTCCTGCAGAGGAAAAAAAATCACGTCCAGTGGATCTCCGTCCGTAAGGGGTCTGGAGGACTGCGAAACTAACTACCCTCAGAAACGGCGCTGAGAAGCAACGTCTCACCTTCCCAAGGCTCGCCAACTCCTCCTTGAGTCCGGCCACGGCATCCTCGTAACGGCATTTTCTGCTCTCTGAGAGTCTCTCAAGGAGGTTGCTGTTTTTCTTCCCAGGAACTGGGTGGAAAGAAGATATGAATGTAAAATGGCAGGATTAACGGTCAGATGGGCATCAAGGAAATAAGGCATCTCACAGGGTTTTATAACCCAATTTATGTACCAAAGCAAAGCCAGAACCTTGGCTTTTGGGTCCACCATTAGAGGGTCACCCTGAGGAAGCACTAAGCAAACTCCTCGATAGACAAGAACAGTATTTCACTCCACAAATTTGCTTTTGCCTAAATTTACTTGCCAGCTTAGCTGATACGGGGGCCCCTGCAAACATAACTTTGTGCTGTAGCTCTCAGCTTTGGGCTTCAGTGAACAGAGGGGGGCTGCAAGCACAACAGAAGGCCTTTGGGCTTCAGCGAACAGACAATTTGCTGAGCATTCAAGGGCTGTAACACCTTGGCTTTTGGGTCCACCATTAGAGGGTCACCCTGAGGAAGCACTAAGCAAACTCCTCGATAGACAAGAACAGTATTTCACTCCACAAATTTGCTTTTGCCTAAATTTACTTGCCAGCTTAGCTGATACGGGGGCCCCTGCAAACATAACTTTGTGCTGTAGCTCTCAGCTTTGGGCTTCAGTGAACAGACAATTTGCTGAGTGGTCAAGAGATGTAACGTCCAGCCTCATGAAGGACTCAAAATTTTGTTTTTATATGGATATGCATGAGAGCGGTGTGGGAATTCAAGGAAATCCGGACGACCACAAATTCTTCAGTCTGGTTTTGTATCATTTGCCTCCAATCTGAGTTGGGACAAGGGACGACTGCTGCCGTGTACGCTACGAGGTGACCACGGGGCTCCAAATTAAAATGGTATTATTTACTGATGACTTCAGCGAGGCCTCGGACTTCTCGGGCCGCCACCACGTTCTCGCCTTCCTGACTCTTGAGAAACGCCAGCGTCGTGGCTTCTCTGAAATGGAAACAGAGGGGGAAACGTTTATGTTTAACAAGGTAGGAAATGGTCGTGCTGGGTTAGGAAATGCCTAATATTCGTTTTGCCACACCTTGTGAGACGGAGGCCACGAAAGTTTCAAACTAGCTGACATTTTTTACAGAGAACAAATCAATGAAACAAAAGGGACACGTTCTCTGTTCCCTCTTGTGGCCAATTTTGATCTTGCATCTTGGAAATAATTAACCAAAAGGCAAAGCCAAATAACTAGCAACAACTCACTGCTGTGATTTGCATCTTCTCTCTTACGCCAATATAAGAAAACATCAGGATTTTTATCATTGGGCAGCTATATTTATATTTCTTACTTGTATTGCACTGGATTTTCAGTGTAGTCATCATTTGGCATCCCCTCAACCCAGGCCTGCTGACGCTGTGTTAAAAACCCATGGCCGGTACATGTTTCGATGTCCTTCACCAAGGGGATATTTCCTGGAATCTGGGGCAGTTTATGCTGTGCTAGCTTGTTTCTTGCCTCCCCAAGAGTACGCACCAGGTTTATCTTGCAAAAGCAAAAATTAAGGAGTTGAGCAAAAAAACAAATATGAACTAAGTATTTTTTAAAACCTATAATTCTACATCACGTCCATAAAAATTTTTCACTGTATTCTTGTGTTAATTAATAATATTCTTGTCTAGAATACTGCATCAGTAAGTTAAAATTAGAATTACAGAATTATGTATATATGAATGCATTTATACGATGTTGTCCCAAATAAGCTATAATGTTGTGATTGTAATTCTTTTGATGCAATTTAATCCCTCGAAAAAAGCTGACAGGCTGAAATGCATCAGGTATTTTTACAGTAAAATAAGGAACATTATATTTTCTACATCCTGGGAGTTATAGTTCAAACACCAGAAGGGGTGCCAGGTGGCACTAATGCATTTTACGGGATCATCTCGTTGAACTCCTGCTCTTTCTTGTACCTCATCATCAAATATCTGCCTGTAGACTTTTCCACTGGGAACCACTCGTGACACACCCACGAGGATCATTTTGCAGAGCGCTCTCGAGTTCTCGGTCTCTCCGCTTGTTTGCACTGCAGCAGAATTGTTTTCCTGGATCGACGGAAGAAAAAATACCCAAATAGACAAAAACGTTAGCGATCAAGGAGAGATTAAATGAATGAAAATATTTTCCCCAAAAAACCTT